ACCATCATGTTTACGTGACTGTTGAGTTTTAAGGACGGGTCCATTATCACCCCCAGATTAGTGACCTTTTGTTTCTCTAGCGGGGCTAGAGAGAAAAGGTCAATGTCATGGTTCATGAGTGAGCCACTGGGATGGAACAGCATGACTTCAGACTTCTTCTCATTGAAGCTTAAGAAGTTTAAAGCCATCCAGTCCCGGATGTCAGCCAGGCAGTCAAGAAGAGGCTGAATAGAGCGTGTGCCTCTGTGCCTCAGGGGAAAGTAAATTTGGCAATCATCGGTGTAGAAATGAAAGGGTATGTCGTGTTTGCGGAAGATAGCACCTAGTGGCAGCAGGTATAAAGAAAAGAGAAGGGGACCGAGGATGGACCCCTGTGGTACCCCCCACTGGAGCGCTGTCGATGCCGAACTAAAATCTTTGATATTGACACAGAAGGTTCTGTCAGAGAGGTAGGACCCAAAACATTTAAGGGCTGACCCTGTGATGCCCACCCACTGCTCCAGTCTAGAAATGAGGATGTTGTGGTCGATGGTGTCAAAAGCAGATGTAAGGTCCAATAGGACAAGCAGCACAGAATCACCTGCATCTGTGGATATGAAAATGTCATTAAAAACCTTCAGTAGAGCAGTTTCAGTGCTATGGAGAGATTTGAAGCCAGATTGGAATAACTCAAGGATAGCGTGATCCCCCAAAAACTGTTTCAACTGAGACTCCACAATTTTTTCCAGTAGTTTAGAGGTGAATGGGAGTCTGGAGACAGGCCGGAAGTTGGACATGACTGAGGGGTCAAGGTTAGGTTTTTTCAGGAGGGGCTCGACAGCAGCATGTTTAAAAGTTTTTGGCACCACACCTGAGGATAAACTGCTATTCAGAATAGCGAGGATAAAAGGACCCAGGGTAGGAAAAACTTCCTTTAGTAGACGAGGGGGGACCACATCAAAGGGGGAACCAGATGGCTTCATGCTGCACATTACCTGCTCCAGAGAGGACAGAGAGATGGGCTCAAAGTGGTCAAACACAGCCACGCACTGAGATGGGATGGACAGATCATGAGCTGGTGGAGAAATGAGTGCCCGGGTGTTTGCCACTTTTTCTAAAAAGAAATGGAGGAAGTTTTCACACAGCTCAGTTGAGGCTTTTCCGAATTTTAAGCTTTCTTCATTGTTATTTACATTTTAGTGCACACGTGACAATAAACCTTGTGAAACTGAGTTTTTATTAATTTAAACCACTCTGAACATCATCTGAAAGCATCACAAACAATAAGGAAGGAAACTCATTGTTTTCTGAGCCGTCGGCAGCACAGCCGCTCTGCGGACGAGCTGGAGTTGCAGCTTGTTTACATGTTCTGTTTGACTTGTAATCTCTCTTCCTGTCTGAAAGATGCAGAGAAACAACCGGAGCTAAAAGCGACATCACGCTCAGCACAGCAAGTTTTACACGAACTGAGACGAGTTTAGAAAATACAAGGATGATCTGCTCATCTGAGCCTGTTAAATGTGTTTATTTAAAACAAAATGCTAAGAGAATTTAACAATAATCATAATTTTGTTATGGTATGTTTTTGTTTTGCTCCAAATTTCAGCTGCATGTTCGTTTGTATTAGAGGCTTGAGCTGGTTTTTGTTTCACAGAAACAAAATGTACAGTGATTTCACGATGAGGCTTCAAGTGGAAATTCAAAACTTTTGGTTAATGAAGTTACAGAACCGGACCACAACTGTTTTTTTATTTAAAAACAAATTGAAAAGATATTTAACCATCTTGTGCTACAGATTCTGGACACATCCCTCACAACTAAAAGAGACGCAGATAAATATGAGCGGTTATCCAAAAATAAAATGTGGAAAAAAACTACAGTAAAACCTTGAAATGAATGCGATGCTGATTCTCATGTGATATTGGTGAGATGTCACGCTCAGTGTGTTGTGAATGCCTCCCAGATGATTCCACATCAAACTTTAGCTCATCTCCATCTCCTACAGCTGATTTGTTGTGGGATGGTGGTGGTCTCCTCCCAGTGGGATGTGCCTGGAAAACCTTCAAAGGAAGTGTCTAACTCTAAAAGATGCCTGGACCACCTCAAGCGACTCCTGATGCGAAGGAGCAGCGGCTCTCCTCCGAGCTTTCTCCTGATGATGGAGCTCCTCACATCTCCAGGGCTGAGCCCAGCCCCCCAACGAAGGAATCTCATTTCAGCCGTTTGTATCTCGTTCTTTAGGTCACGATCCAAACCGCATGCCCATAGGAGAAAGATGGAATGTTGACATAAACTTTACTTCAGTATGTGTAAAATGGGTTGTTCCAATGTCCATGTTGAATGAGGTCGCTTATTTGTGGCAGCCATGTTGAATTGGGTCGACTCCAAAAGTTAATCAATTATATCATCCAGGGCTTAATTTGTAAACCGATTGATGCAGGAGCGCGAATAGCAGGGGTGAATCTGGGGGTCATCCCCCATAAAATTTTGAATAAAGTAGATGTGATTTCCTGCATTTTGGTGTATTTTAACAGGTTGTTAAACATCTATTTTTTACCTACTTCTGTCAAGCATCCTACCCCCCACCCCTTTACTTGACGGTTCCAAGCCCGACTCTTCTCCGCTGAATTCACTGTCCTACTCGTTGTTGTCCCGACTCCACATGAGAAACCTCCAGGCCTCCTCCGTCCGTTCATGGCGGCTGCCTGTGGGCTCCTGCCAGCGTACGACTGCCTGGTTAGCTCGGCACTCACCCCCACCACTCGCTCGCTCCTGCTCCAATCTGGATTGCCGCTGCCTTCAGGTGCTTCAATTCTCAGTTGTCCAACTAGGACAATGAGGCGGCTTTTTTAAAAAAATGAAAGTAAATTGGACTGTCTTTACCACATTTTGATCGCGGTTATTTTGACAAATTAGTGCCGTTGTTTTGATACGTGATGTGAATAATACACAAACATTTCTCTCATTGTACTTTTAATAAATAATCTAATTTTTATTAATGACCCACTTAAAGTGTAGAACTGATTTGCAATTTAGTTGTGCTGTTTAATTATATTTTTGAAAGTTTTAATAAAATTGCGTGATGACTTTGGACTTTTGGGCGGGGGGGGGGGGGGATTTTTTTAAGGGTAAAGGTGGAAATGATGACTTGAAGTCTCGCTACCCACAAGCTGTCAGATTACTGAACATGTATTTGTCCCTTTGACCCTCAAGCCATCAGACTGTTCTACTCCCCCCAGTACAGTAAAAATAGAGCCTTGTAAGTCTGCAGTACCCCAGACACTTATGTGTATGTATGTTTACATATACATATGCATATGTATATACTGTACATCACGTGTCCAACTCAAGGCCCGGTGGCCAAATGTGGCCCTCGTTGACATCTTGTCTGGCCCAAGAAGATATGTTAAACGTAAAATACTTTTATCACTTTAATTTTTTTCAGTAATCTTTGATTATGTCAAAAGTGCAGCAGGGAACGTCAAATGAGACCAGTCAAACTCTTGAGGAACTTGCAACCAAGAAAAGATGTCGAGTATCTAACTTGAGTTAATGTAGATTCTGAAATTGGCCCTTATTTTGAAAAAGGTTTTAATTCTGGCCCCCTTTTGTGAGTTTGACACCCCTACTGTACATGTAAGCTTGTGTGTGTACATATATATATATATATATATATTTATATACATACATATACAGTATATATAGGTTAATCATGAATGTTGTACTCCCTACCAACTTGTGCATGTGCATATTCAGACCTGAATCTGAATAATGTCTTTTCCCAAATTTGTGTATTCTGCCTTTTTTTCCCCCCTTCATTATTTTATGTGTCTTTTTTCTGTATAATTAGAAAATGTTACTGGATGCCTCAAAGTTCCCCACCTGGGATTAATAAAGTATCTATCTATGTCCCTTGTGCCTATACATCATGTATGAATGTCACTACTTTACCCTCATAATTCAATTAATCTCCATGTTTCTACCTGTGCAATAACCTGTCACACAACCTGTGTAGTTTATGTTATGTGCATTATATATATATATATCATGTGCATTTAAACATATATTACTACCTTGAAATACTTGTACACACAAATTCATCCTACTTGCACTGTTAAAATTCTACCACGTTGTTTACCATTTTTCTTTTGGACCTTGTAAATATTGTATTTATTTTCTTTTTCACTTTTTTTGGTACTTTATTTTGTACCCTTTTTGCATGCTTTAGTATTTTTTGTTTGTTGTTTATAACGAGTCAAATCGGTTCTTCTCACCCTGAACATTTCATTGTACTGTTAACCTTGTGTTAACCTGCATATGACAAATAAAACAACGTAACAAGGGGCAAGCTTGTAAGTGTTATTGTGTTTAAAATGAGTGTTTATGTAATTATTTTCAGTTCAGTCATATTTGTTCATAACTTTATTAGTAAGCCTGAGAGTAACCGGATCCAAGCAAACAGCTAACAGAACGCACCCTGTCAAAATAAGAGTTCCGGGATCCTGTTCCAGCAGGATCCAGTGCATCCAGTGATTACTTTCTGGAGATTTCTTTAAAATTAATTCAGTGGTTCATGAGATATTTTGCTGACAGACAGAGTTGAATGAAAGCTTTAGTTGGAATTCCAAACTTTTCTTTAAGGTGGAATTACTAATTGCTGCACCATGCTCCTTCCCCCCGCCCCTCAAAGTTGTTTTGCAAATGGGTGGGATCATAAATGGTCCCAGTGGTAGATGCTTACAGGAATCTTAATAATTCCTAATTGCTCCGCAGTTCCTCCCTGCCAGAACATTCACACAAAGGTCTGAGCATCATTTCAGAAAACAGGACAATACGGTAGGTCTCTAGATTTTATGTGCCCAAGTCGTTATTAACAGTACGGAAATTTTCTGCAGATGTAGACAATGACTTACGCAGCCTCAAGCTTGACCAGAACATGATGTGTAGACAGATTAGAACAGAGTGGATGTTAATGAGGGTCATTTAGCTGTCTCCGCCACTTCCTCCAACAGAGTCTTCGTTCAGTGAGCTACACACTAAAGATCACATGCGGGGCAAGATGGAGGTGAAGGTGTCTGTGAACGGCGTCCCACGAGTGGTCTGCGGAGTTACGGAGGATACAACATGCCAAGAAGTGGTCCTGGCATTAGCTCAAGCCCAAGGTATGTACATCTGCAGGTCTGTGTGCGGTAAAAATCATCTTCAAACACAATGTCTGAACTCTTCAGGTCAGCCTGGACGCTACACGCTATGGGAGAAATTTAAAGACTTCGAGCGGTGCATGACCCCCGAAGAACACCCTCTGGAGACCCTAAAGAAGTACGGTGAGCAGGCCAGAGAGGTCCAGCTCATCCTGCGTCACAACGACCCCTCTGCCTGGGATGAAATGAGCAGAATGAAGGTCGGCAGGTACCAACCCTGCCCGCCGCTGAGGCGAAAAGATCCGGGTGCCAGAATGAGGAGAGGCAGCGGCTCGCTAAGTTTACAACGTCAAAGCTTGCCGCGGTTGTCGTGTTTGAAGGAAGAAGCCGAGCAGAAGACAGAGGACCTGAAGAAGACTAAAAGAAAGTCTCTGACGCTCATGGAGGAGGCCTGGGAATGGCTGGAAAGTCTGGGGAAGGGGAAGGTCTACAGTACGGCAAGTGACAAGCAAAGCAAGAAGAGAACAGAGAAAAGAAATCGTGCCTCTTTGGATTTGACTCTCACTGTTGAGAGAGACACCACAGACCAAAGAGGCAAAGTCCGAGGTCAGAAAGCCCCTAAATCAGACCTGGACCATCAAACATCCTGTTGCATCGGAAACCAAACCAGCGATAAGGAAAGCAAACACTCCAAGAAAACCCAGGAAGTGAGATTGGACTTCAGCAAATCAAACGGCACGACGAGCCAAGATGAGAAAAACCGTGCAAGAGAAACCATCGTTCAGCAGCTGCTGAGCCTGCAGGATTTACAGGTCCAAATTACACACATGGACAAACAGATTGTTGAACTTGAGGAACGACAGAAGGCCCAAAGAGCTGAAGAGGAAACCCGTGAAAGATTAGTCAGTGAGCAGACGGAGCAGGTAAAATTTTGGGAGAGCGAATTAAAGGCAGAGGAAGATTACGAGAAAGATTTGCAGCATCAGTTCCTCGAGCTGAGAGCCAAAGCTGGGGAGTGCAAGGCTCAGCTGGAGGAGTACAAACACAAAATACAGGGCGTTCATTTCTTTGGTGGTCTGGTTGATCAGGAGGATCCAGAAACAGCTGTAGAAGTTGGTGCAAACGCTGAAATCCCAGCAGGTTCAGCCAAGGATGAAAATCGGGGGAAATCAGATTCTGATGTGGATGCTGATGTTAACAGGAAGTTCCTGCCCCGTGAAGAAGCCAACCCCCCTCCTCCTCCTCAAGCTCTAGTTCCTCCCAATCAGATAAAGGAGCGGCGGCTCACAGGACCCACTGAGATAAAGGAGTGGTGGACTCGCTGGTCAGAAACCCAAAATGCTCAGACACAAACAAAAAAGGTGATTCACCGCTCGGAGCTGACTATTTATCTGGGCAGTACCAAGGTTTAGAAAACAGGAAGTCCTTAATGCTCCATTGTATTATAGCTGGGGTTATTTCAGCGGAAATACACAGTATCTGCTTCAGAAGAGTTTTACTAAAGTATTTTAATGGAAAAGCTTTATTGTATCTATAAAACTGCTTTACTTGCAGCTTTTCCTCAATGTTTCTAAAGTGAAACAGAAATCTTTTTATTCTGAAAGACAAAAGATAGACTACCAACCTCAGGAATTCACTTTATGGACTGGATTGAAGCACGAGTGTCGATTTTTAAATTTGTATTTTGTTTTTACCATTAAAACGGATTCTCATTTTTGTTTTTGGTGTTAATCTCTGATCTACAAAACTTTTGCAGCTTTTCCCCCCTTTCAGAGTTGTGCTTAAATTAAAGGCGTCATGTTCCTTAACGGAACGTTTTAGGCTGAGATCGTGAATTGAACATAACCAAGGTCATTTATTCAAATCTTATCCATTATCCCTAACCGTATGATTTCTCAAGATGTTAGGCTACAACCAGGGCTTAATTTGAGGCGGATCCTGCTGGAACAGGATCTGAGAACTCTTATTCTGACAGGGTGTGTTCCGGCAACAGTTTGCTCGGATACGGTAACGCTCCTGTCTTACTAATAATAAAGTTATGAACAAATATGACTGCCTTGGAACGAATAAAACCTATATTGGATATAATCTGAAAATAATTACATAAACACTAATTTTAAATATAACAGCCACTTATGAGCTTGTTAATATCACTTAAGAGCTGCCCCTTCAAGTAAGCATTTCTGCTTCTACGTTAATAAAAAAAAAATTAAAAATCTGCATTCTGGCATCATTTAGTTTACAATTTAAGCACTGGCTACATGTACCGTATTTACTGGCGTATAAGTTGCAGTTTTTGCAGATTTCTCAGTCCTGCAACTTATATGCCAAAGCGACATGTTCCCCCCCCCCCCCCCATATTCATAATGCAATTTTTGTCCCGTCAGTTGAGAATGTTTAAACAAACTTAACATTTGACCATTTTTCAGTTTGCAAGGAATCGTTACAAAATAGATGTATTTTTTAATAGTCAAGGTTAGAAAAGTGACAAATGCCTAAACGGTAACTATGGAAAAGGAAGTTTGAGGAAGTTACGGTAATCATATGAAGACGCATCTAAAAATTAAGATTGTTTCTTGAACCGAGTATATTTTTAACAGTGTCTTGGACATTATTTTTCTTCTGCCCTAAATTATTATTTTAGGCAAATACCCATGAAGTTGAATGTACCTGAGGAAAACCAAAAAAATTCAGAAATGAAATGAGGGCACTCGTCCTTGATTTTCATAAAACTTTTAATTCAATTGTTTCGTTCAAGACCATTAACAAAAGTACATGAGAACCTCCGTACGCGGTTCAACTGAAGCTTGTTTGATCAAAGAAATTAGTTGCGACTTTCACTTAATGTTCTGAGGCACGGCAGCTTATCCTCGTCTCCAGCGAACAAAAACCGACATCCTGATTCATAACGCTGATTTAAACTAAATCTCGGAAAGTTGTCGTCCATCTCTCTCTTTTTTTTTGTTTTTTAATTTCAATATGTGAAATATGATGTTTCACCCAGAAAGAAAGAAAATACAAAAGAGCAAACATTACATATATAGTTCAACCCACAGGTTCGAGATGCATATCTGTATTATTTCTACAAAAGAAAAAAAAGCCACCCTAAGATTGTTTTCAATAATTTTATGGTTGGCTGAAAACAGAATATATTTCATTTGTTTCTTTTTTTTTTTTTTTTTGCTTTTATTTTTTATCTTGTTTGTAGTTTTTAGGCACCTTATTCTTAATTTTTTAATATTAGCAGATCAAGTTTTCATAAAAAAGCAGAAGTGTGTGCAAGAAAAAAAAAGTAAAAAAAAAATAAAATAAAATAATAATAATAATAACGCAACGGCAGAAAAAAGATGCCGCAAGGAATTCTGCACCTGGGGAAAAAGTGGAGCATGTATATACCAAAAAGGTATTTCAAGGCTCTAGACTGGTAAAGGTAAATCGCAGTGAGAAACTACATCCACATACATGGAACACGCACACCATGCTTTCACTTCTGCTTTTCAGTAAAGCATTCCAACTGCTCAAAAAAAAAAAAAGCAGCGGAAAATCCCCAAAAGCTTGCACAGGGTAATATGATCCTCCTCATGGAGGGAACGCAGCTTTATGCATTTTGTAGGAAATCATACGGCAGATGAAACTTGATAATTAAATAATGATGTAAAGGAGCATGAGGAAAAAAAAAAAAAAAAAAAAAAAAAAAAAGCAGGAAGTTGGACATGCCAGCATTCAATGGTCATTTACTCACGAATGAACAGGTTACAGGTGCAGAATTCCAGACAAAGCAGATTCAAACGATCAGGACATTACAGCCACGCAGACAAAGAGGGACAAGGCCCTTTAGAAACAAATACCTCCTTTACACACGAATCACTTCTAAGATACGCCACACACTCAAGACTCCCATGTTCACTGCAGAACGAAACCATTGAGAACATACATGGAAGGCAGGGAATCGTGGAATACGAAAAAAAACAATCCCTTACAGGTATCAATGAGAGCGAAAACTACACATGCCAGTTACTGCATGCGTACGTATGTTTTGTAGATGTTACAAGCATGTGTCAGATCAGCTTCCCTTATCCACAGCATCTCGTGGGCGCATAAAGGGGCAGGTTCTGTATTGCTCAGTCGATAACACCAGGCTGGCGGGTCTTGCGTTCCACACTGAAGCCCTGCGCAAATAAATAAATAAATAAATCATTTTAACCAAAAGTTCAGGGTTTACAAAAATTGAAGTATTTTATTCATTTTAAGAAAACACAAATGACCCCAAAACAGCCCGTTAAACCATGTAGAAAATATTTCTACAGTTCATTCTATTTATTGGATGGAGTTATAAATTTATAGAGTTTAAAGTATAATTTAAACCTATAATTACCAAATTAATTTAAAAGGTCCAGCAGTATTTCCCCTACCATTATCGAGCGCCCAGTCTACTGAACCACGTGCACCCCTCCCCCCACCCGTTGGCACTGACGTAACGCTAAGCTAGCGGCTCGCAATAAAGGTGCGCACCGTGCGCTTGCTAAAAAGCTAAAGGCAGCCTCTTCCCTCATGCTGAACCACCCTCTCCCTCGAAAACTGTCGGTACAAACTGCACGCAGCTCAAATGTGTGTCTCTCCCCTCACCCCCACCCACTCTAAAACTGTCTGCATAAGCAGAGCGCTGCGCAGCTCAAGACGCGTCTCCATCCGTCTCCCACCTCACCTCTATAAAAATTACGGACGAGATACGCGCCCCTAGGGGAAACATCGTCCAGTATTCCTTGAAAGATTGTTTTGTGTTTTGATCTAGAGATTTAAACAGATTATACTCTGATAGAAAAACAAACAAACAGTGAATCGTTACCATTTTGGTCAAACCTTTAAAACAACATTACGCGTGTACCAGTATACATGATCTCATGCAATATTGTGAGGTCATGCACAGTTTATGCGTTGAGGGTGAACCTCAGCTACTACAGCATTTTAGATTCATTACATGTAAAAGACCAAATTAACAATGTGTCTTTGAAGATTATTGTTGTTACGACATGAATTGATCGGCATGATCGCCTCCAATCATTTGCAGATCTGATTATTTTCTGCAAGTTTCTTTATAATTTATGAAATAATAATTATAATTTATAATAATAATTTATGATTCATGAGATATTTAAGCAACAGATTTGGTAAACCCACCTTTTGGCAGTGGGTGATTAATAGCAGTACAGAAAACTGTCAGAGCATTACAGATCTAACCGTACCTTTGAATTATCAGGACCACGAGGCTGTCGGACGATGACCAGGCGAGGAGCACTAGCATCATCAAGAGTGATGCTCTTCAGTCGGTTCACCAGACGGTCAGGACGTGGTGTTGCCACTGGTTTAGGACCCTCGCTGTTATATCAGGCACATGAGAATTCATGAATCAGTGGTTTGGCTAAACCATACGCTGTGAACATTAGGTTGTAGACTCGTGTAGTCATGGTTCATACCTGACTCTGCGCACGTTACAAGCACTACATTTTCCAGTGCGTTGATTAAAGACGACTGAGAACTCCACCTCATCTCCCGTCTGGAGTTCAATGCCATCCTGCACCTCTTTTACATGGAAGAACAGCTTTTTGCTCTCACCCACTTCGTACGTGATGAACCCAAACTGGAAGCAACAAAAGAGAACTTCAGGATTTCTTCTACAATTTTTAAAAGTCCATCACAAGCTGAAGCTGTAGTAAGCAAGAGACATAAGCAATGCAATTAAAGACAAATGAGCTTCACCTGGTCTTTAACACACTCAACTGGAGCTCTTCGCTGAGGGACGACATTACAGGCCATCTTCTGACCAGTTTGGGTGACGGTGCAAACCTGTAATTTTACATTCTCTCCTTTCTGCAGGCAATCTGCCTTGTTTGTCATCCCCATGATTCCAAAGGGATAAGTAGGCCCTTTTCCTCCACCTAAGAGGAGAAAAATAAAAATATATTTAGGGATGATTTATACTTCAACATAAGTGCAGAAAGTTTATACGCCGATTTGGTTGTGACAAAAATCATGCGCTTTTAATTATGCACCGCCTCCAAGGGTAGCATTCACACCAGCCCCGTTTAATCTGCTTTAATCGAACTGTAGTCTGTTTGCCTAGAAAGTCCAGTTCGTTTGGGGAGGTGTGAATGCGCAATTGAACTCTGATCCACCTAAAGACCTAGGTCTCGGTTCAGATGAAGTGAACTCTAGCGCGGTTCAAATGCAGTGTGAATGCAAGCAGACCTGAGATCGCTCCAAAAGCAGGAAGTGGACTACAGCGCAGGGCATTCTGAGTAAATAAAAAACAAAGCAAACGTGCATTTCTCATATGGCGCTGTCTCAGCCGCCTTGTGTGAAAAACAACATTCTCCATTGTCTTTTGCCTCATCTTCCGCTCATGCGGAGTCCATTGTTGAAAAATTTTTTGTTTGGCACATGTGCCACAGACAAAACTGAAATCCTAAATCCGCTAAAATTTGACGCCACTCCATTCGTTTCCTTCAGTAGTTCATGGTGCACAGTCGAGGGGGGAACAAGTTGGCTCGATTGACTCAATGCAGTGTGAATGCGAACCGCACCAGCTGAAAATGTAAACAAGTGTTCCGAATTTTGGTCCCCAATCGAACAGAGTCCATTGGACTATCTGGTGTGAAAACGACCCAAGAATCACTTCAGTGCAAACTTATAAAGATAGTCAAGGAACTTGTGGAAGGAGATCACAATCACAGTGCAGAAACGGGCAGCTCTTGGTGGTGGTTCTGTCCGAGAGGAAGTACGCCTCTGCTGGGCAGTATAGGGTCACAATCCCACATGTTGGCAGCACAAAGGCTCAGTGGTTAGCACTGTTGCCTCACAGCAAGAAGGTCCTGGGTTCAATCCCCAGTTGGACCTGGGGTCTTTCTGTGTGGAGTTTGCATGTTCTTGTGCTTCGCGTGAGTTTTCTCTGGGTACTCTAGTTTCCTCCCACAGACCAAAAACATGCATGCTGGCCTGCCTTCAGGCCCAGGCCTCCCTTGCAAAAGAGATCTGTGATCTCAGTAAGATTTGCCTGGTTAAATAAAGGTTAATAAATAAATAACACTGTCAGAAACCCTGGCGGTCTCTTTGTGACAAATTTTAGAAATAGTGCTTCTCTCTGATTAACAACAGATACCATATCATTCTCTTCCCACATCTATCATCAACTAAAAACTGAAAACTTCACTCTGCCAATCATATCACTGTGTTGTTTTTGTTTGTGCATGAAGTGTGCTGTAGTAGGAAGACTTGCAGGACATTCCTTGCCGTTTCTCTTAAAAATAAATAAATAAAATGTCTGTGTGAAAAAGAACATCTCAAACACATTGGCATAAACCAGCCTTTAGAGTTGCCACCAACCTTCCTCAATGACTTCAATGAGCCCTTGGTATTCTGTCTGTGAGGGGTCCACACTGCGTATGGGACGAATAACTTTCCCTGCCATCACTGTTGTGCCAACATCCTCACCGGCACCATTCACTAAAACAGAAAAAAACAAACAACTATTTTATCAGCAGATCTTAAAATCATGTCAAAACAAATAAAAAATATGCATAAAGACAAACCTCTTGTGTCTGCAGCCACCTTGGTAACCTTTTCAGCACTCACTTTGTTTCCTTTTCCTTTAGAAAGATTGTACTCAACCGTGTCACCCAGGTCCAAGTTATCCACATCTCCACACATTTCACTGACACAAAGAAAGAAAAGAGACTTGCATCAATCAAGACATAAGTAAATGCATCCTCCTAATCCACCTCAGAATTAAATTCCTACCTGTAATGAAAGAAAACTTCTTGGTCATGATTTGCCGTTTCAATGAAGCCAAAGTTATCTTTGAGGGCAGCAATAAACCCATGCAGTCTCTTGGAGTTGGAGTTGGCATTTCGGTTAAGGATCCTGATGCTCACTGCACTCTGCTGGCCAGTTCGCTTCACTTCATTGATTGAGAACTCCACCTAGAGGACAAACATCTTTTAGTCTCACAGGCACAAACACTACAGTTCTGAAAGCAAGTTCAGGGCAACAAAAAGGAAGGGATAACACTTCATCACTTGCTCTTGCAGAGATTGGACGCGTTCCCATCCCCTCCCTCCGCTTTGCTGCTCTGTCTGTGAAACTGCTTGTGAGCCTCTCTTCATATCTTCCAAACCATAATTATGGACTTATTTTGATCATTTGGTCCCTCAACTCAATTTACAACATTTCTTCGAAGAGAAGACAGGCTTTAGGCGATCTGATTCGCCCTGTTGGCACGCACGCAGCTGGACATCTCGTAGATTTGAAGACATGTTCCTGCTTTTTGGATTCGGCTGGTTTTATCAACAATCAAGGAAGTCGTCAGCAGCAAATTTGGACCCGATCACGCTGCTTGCTTTTCAATCAATCTTTATTTATACAGGTAAATCCCATTGAGCCTCGAGGACTCATTTACAAGAGAGACCTGATTTCAACAAAGAAAGATGACAACAATGGACAACAGCAACAACAATAAGCAGTTTTTTTTTTTTTTTTAACAAATAGGATGGCTAAAAGGAAAAAGGTAACAAAACAAAAAAACAGCTAGATTCCAAGACAAATGTATAAAACTAAAAACAGGAACATGTCTGCATTGGTCCCTGCCAGGAGTCCAACAGATTCTTAAAGCCACTTAGAGAGGTCAAGGTCGAGAGCTTCAAATCTTTTTGTAAGATATTCCAGGAAACAGGAGCGGAGTAGGAGAAGGCCCTTTTGCCTAGTTCAGTCCTCACTGAGGGAACACTGCAGGTAATAATGTCCTGAGAGCGCACTCCGTAGCTGCACTCACGCAGAGACATGTAGGAGGAGATGTATGAAGGCAGCAGACCAAGAAGTGATTTAAAGATGAAAATGTACCAGTGAGAGTCTGCGTGAAGTTAATGATGTCCAGTTAACCAATGAATACAGGGTGCAGTGGTGGGTACGATAATCACAGCCAGTTATGAATCTTAGTGCACCATGATAGACAGCATCCAACATTTGCAGGGTTCTTGTAGGAGCGTTCATGTAAATAATATCACCAAAATCAATTGAGGGAAGGAAAGTCACAGATACAAGGCGTTTTCTAGCATTCAGGGTTAGACAGGGTTAGCTTTTATGATGGCTTGGTTCATGCCTCGAGTACCTGGACTCAAATGCTTTGGGCAGAATGGATCAGATCTTGGGGATTTTACTCAGTCACGTTCCATCGGTGTGGCCATGTAATTTGGACATTTCAGAACAGAGTGGACCAACACAGACTCAAGGTAGATGTCATTAAGTTCTGCCTGTCCCCAAAACAACTGTGTGTTTATCTGAATTTGGCTCCCTTGGCTGGCCTTTAAGGTCACCTTATCTGAATTCGCCTGGAGAACGTGATCTGACGCTCACCGCCCCCTCCCTGAGGAATTTCCAACTGGTAACCAGATGAAACCAGCTGAATAAACTTTGCATCATCATTTCAGGACTCTTGGATTCTCAGTCATTCTTGGATATTGCTCGACATACCTCGAGAATGTTTACGGATCTCACTGGAGGACACTGGCGGATTATCTCATCCTTATCAGAACTCTTACAGTGACCTTGAGAGCATTTATGAACACTGAACACCGCTCTTGTCGTCCCCCTCTGCAGAATGTCTACGTCACTATGTGCTTGTTTGTGCGAGGTGTTTTTTTTAAAAGTTTTTTCTTCTCAGGCAGGAAAAAAAAAAGTCTGATAGGAATTTTTTTGCCTCCAATTCCTACATGTGTCCAGTTTCACTACTTTGTCTAAACAGATCTCGCTTGTAAATGAGTCTTCTAGGTTCAATGTCACTTATCTGTCTAAATAAAGGTTGAATGAACACGTTACAATGCAACAATCCCCCATATCATTTTCATATTAGCTGTATTTCACATTAGCTCATAATAAATAAGCATACAATCAAAAATAAAAGTAATTAAATGGATACCTTGTCTCCAACCTGAGGGTAAAATCCTCCCTCTAGATCCTTGGCATGATATGGCACAGTGAGCTTCACTCCACAGTCTTCATAAGAAAGCACTCCTTCCTCCGTTTCCTAAAGAAAAGGCGACTGATCAGTTCACATTAGCTTTGCATTGAATACCAGCAGTGCTTGACTGAAGAATGGTCAAATGTCTGAGAAACAGGACTACGGATTTTTGTGCGGCAAATGTGAAATGTCACAAAGCTGAACCAAAATCAGATTATTTGAGTACGTGGAGCATAATGAGACTGCGGTCTATAAAACTAAAAGCAGAACCAGTGTGTAAGAATTTATTTTAGAGCCACATAGCTGGTTAGTATTAACTTGATAGCATCAGCTTTGAATTAGAACTTGCAACTTAGGGCTGCATAATTATGCTTCAACTATTTATAGACAGTAAAAATCTAACCAACTGAAGGCCCTTTCACAAAATACTTAAAGTCAGGACTTGGATGCCTTTTGGCTGCCTTGATGTAATTTCTGAATGGACTGAGGCGGCGGGGCCGTCCAAGCCATCCCACCCGTTATGTGTCTGGCACGTAAAAAGGCAAGCCAACTTTACTACTCAATATTGATGAAGTGATGACATATGGTCTGTGTCACCACCAGGTTGTGGGATTAAATAACATATTTTTGAGGGAAGTTAAATAATGGTGCACAGCAACTTTTTTTAATTTATAAAAAAAATTGTTAAAAGCAAAGAATAGCTACATTGAGTCAATTCAAGTTTTGAAAATAATTAATCCGAGAGCTGTTCACTGCACATTTGACATGTTGCGCTCAACGTCAGCCTAGCTAGGTTCTGCTCTACGCCTCTTCTGGTGACTTGCTCGCTTCATTTCCAAACGCTCACGTCTGTGCGTGACGTGGCCGGTTTCATCTGTGATTTCTGAATGGCAGCATAAGGAACGGGTCTTTGCCGTTTCGTGGAACCGTTTTGTGAAAGAGCCTTTAAAGGATGGGTAAAAATCACACGCGATGTTAAACTATGATGCAAAAATCATCACACTAAAATTTTAAATGTTATTCTCTATAAAGTTATAATTACAGTTTCATTTGTACAGCCCTACTACTCCGGGTCTTTGTGATATAAGTGAGTGTTAATTGGTGATCAAACACCATGCTGTCAACCGCAGATATGATCAGCTATTTAAAAAGGGGCAAAGAGCAACAAAAACCAACCTTTTCTACAACTTTTCCCTAAAAAACAAACAAACAAAAAACCTTAGCCAAGCTTGTAATTGCAGAAATAAAATAGATTTTAAACAATTTGTCTAACATTTTCTGATTCAAATTGTTCAGCTGAGGTAAAGGAACAGAGGAGTTTCTTATTTATGCACCAACATTTAATACATATATATTCAACTAAGTTTTATAGAGGAAATAAGCTGCTACTTTTAGGAGGCACGATCGATGTAGCTTCATGCAGCTCTCAGTCCTACCTTGTCTTTTTTCTAACCAAAGAGAAGAATGAGGTGGAGGTGATCATTAAGGAAGAAAACAAAAACCAAAATTAGAACTAAAAAAGAAAACTGGAAAGACGAGTAGATAAGGACGGTTGATGAACAACGGGGGGAGTCTAAAGCAAAGCGCTCTCACATTTGTGCAGGTCCGTACCTTCTCCTTGCCCTTCATCGGACTTGCGTTCTTGTTTGTGGCTCCAACAAGTTCCTTCTCCACCACACCCACAAAACGCTGCTCAGACTGAGTATGGAAGGACACTGTTCCTTTAGGAAGTTTCTTAATGCGCACAGCATGGTTTCTTTGAGCCGACAGCATGTCCTGGAAGTAACACAGACTTTAGTTTCTTGCAGCCCAATAATCAGAATGTGCTCACTTTAGCAATAACAGATAATACATACTTTTGTGAAAAGCTTAACAGAACCTACAGGCACAACAGTGAACTCCACTTCATCTGAGATATGAAGCTGACTCTCCTCCAGGACCTCGCTGAAGTGAAAGAACATCCTTGCGTCTCGATCCACACACTTTATAAAACCAAAGCCATCACGTATAGCCGCAATCACACCCTAATACAGACAGACACATGATTGATTACATACAGGTGCATCTCAAAAAATATGAATATTGTTAATAAGTTACTTTTGTCCATCATTCCAGAAAGTGAAACATATATAATCTATAATTACATCATTTTGATGATCATGTCATACAGATAAGCGTCTCAGAAAATTTTAATATAGTGATAAAAAGTTTCATTTTGGAAACTTGTGCACATTATGCACAGACGAATCCTAGACATGATATAAATGTCTCATTCCTCAAGTTAAATCACTCCTGAACTAGAGACAACTTCAGAAGCATCTTACCTGCTGAGGATACAGAACTTGACTGTTGCTCAGTGGTCCAATGTTCTCATTTCACATGAAAGTAAATGTTACATGTCAATTAAAAATCAAGACCCCAGAGTTTGGAAGAATGGAGGGACCCAGAATCCATGCTGCTTGAAGTTGTGTGAAGTTTCCACAGTCATTGATGGTTTGGGTCCATGTCCTCTGCTGGCGTTGGTCCGCTGGGTTTTCTGAAGTTCCTAGTGAACGCAGCATCTACCAGGACATTTTACAGTTCTTCATGCTTCCTTCTGCTGATGAGCTTTATGAAGATGCAGATTTCATTTTCCAACAGGACTTGGCACCTGCCCTCACTGCCAACGGCACCAAAAGCTGGCAGCGGAATATTCTAATTTTCTGAGACATTGATTTTTGGTTTTTCCATCATTTGTACGCCATAATCATCAAAAATTACAAGAAATAAAAGGCTTCAAATGTTTCACTCTGTGCAATGAATCGAAGTAATATACGAGTTTCACTTTCTGAAATGACGGACAAAATAAATATCTAACTTTTTCACAATAATCTAATTTTTGGAGATGTACCTGTAAATATTCACATGACCTGCTGTGAGCATCCTGGTCATTTTAATCTTACAAGAAAAGATCATAGCTCAGGACAAGAAAAGATTTCTAACCATTTCACGGGTCTCCTTGGTGAAGTTGAAGGTGTCTGGGAGGATTTCAATGTTGGTGGCCCTCTCAAGTTTATCTCTGCGATCGGTGGAGATGTTGAATTGAATGTGGTCTCCCTCCAAAAGCGTCACCTTAGACTTTGTGTCCTTTTCTCCAAAAGGCAGTTCCTTATCTGTGAAACCAATCCTTGCACTGATTCGACCAGGCAGAGCGTCATTCTGTAGAATTGGAAAGGATTAGTGAAGGCTGAAACAACGCTCATTGTCAATCAGGTATGTAATCTACTTGCCTGATTTTTTGAGGGAACTTTGGGAATAACTTTCACAACAGTGCCTTCAAACTGCTCAATGCTGATGTCTTCAAAAATGACAGTTCCCTGGGGGAGCAGCCTCACATCTGTAGCTACTTCCTTGCCCTAAAGAACGATCCAGTACAAACATGCATTTTTTGACATATCAAGGTAGGTAACTGCCGAGTCACAATTGTGGAGAGCTGGAAGTTTGACATTTACATTTCTGTCTTTGATGGTAAACTCAACATCATCTCCAGCCTGAAGAGCTTCCAGATCACCCTTAAACTCACTGTAGTGAAAAAAGATCTCCTTCACCACATCTGCCCTCTCAATAAAACCAAAGGCCTCCTGAAGAAAAAAAAAAAAACAAGGTGCAACGAGACCGACAAGATTGTCAACTTACTAAAATTAATAAATACAAATTTTTGTGTTTAAGTTTTAAAATAAAAAATGACTCTACCTTTGTAGCACACACCACACCCTGGCACCTGGCCTGTTTCTTCTTCACTAGCTGTATATTGCGGGCACTAACGGCACCAGTACTGAAATAAGAGCAAGACATTATTAAACAATCAAGCACAAATCGTGAAAGTCCAACATCCACCATTACAGTCCCAAGTGCCCTTAACGAGTATTCACGGTAGTACAATATGATAGTTCTGGTTTTTCCAAATTCCGACCAGGCAAGTGAAAAAAAAAAAAAAAAAAAAAAAAAAAAAAGACGCATAAACCAGTTACAGAAACACTCAAGCACACAGCCGATGACTGCCAAAGGCTAATGATGTCAAGAAAGACACAAGCTCGAGTGTCTTCCTGATGGAGTATGCTAGTGAGGACGATTTCGCTGGAGAAAGTTCACGTGATTTAGAGGATATCTATGATGACTTCTCTACAAGCGATGAAGAACCAAGTAGAACTGTTCAGTGTGAAATATTGCTCATGTTAAGATATTTTCAATCTAGACTGGTCTTTAACACTCAGCAAGGAGGGCCTGCTCCGTACACGTAGGCAAGAGGCAACACCATGAAAAGCCTAATCCATCCTGGACGGACCTTCCCGGGTTGACAATACCAACTGGTGTGCTAGTATTTACAATAAAATAAAATGTTATTAAAAATAATCCGATTGTAAGGAGCATTTGCTATTAAACCCTCTGGAGTCAATGGATGCAACAGCATCTTTTAAATCACTTGAGCAATTTCAGTTGCTGTAGTAGTCAACACACAGCCGCTCAGACTACATTCTAATTTGTGTCAAAAGTAAAGATTTTAACTATAAACAGTTTTTTTAAATAGTGCCGATTTTGTTTTTTAAATAGTGCTGATAGGTCAAGTATAACCGGAGTTATGATAAAGGATTCACGCAACATTTTTTTTTTCTGTAAATCAGTCATATTTGAAGCGCTGCAGCAAATAAAACACCTCAATCCCCTTTTGACTATTACCTCTTCACCCCCAACAAATTAACGAACATCGCTTCACCTCTTTTCTGAGTGAAGCCCAAAGTTATTTGGAAGAAGTAAAATACATGAAAGTTGTTGAAGGGAGCTCGGCGGGCGAGTGAAGAGGATGGAACCACACAGTCACAATATTCTCAGACAGAAGAGGTAAGCTCAAAGACAAAGATGGAGAAAAACAGATTTACGGAGATTTCTAGAGAACTGTGCTACACACCGATTCAGCGTTTTGTTCCTGCCACGAGTATTTTTACCAGAAATGATCAGTGTGCATTATAAATCTGGCTGTCTCGCATGATCCAGACACCGACTCAATTCAGTCCATAAATTTTAAAACAAGTTTGCTTTACTTTTCAACATTTGCCACAGAATATAGGTGTTTATTTTTATGTCTCATATTTTACTGGATATACAATATGATAAAATGGTGGGTGTTGGACTTTAAGATTATACTGCCATTGTGTTGAGACTTACTGCTTGTTAGTTTCCATATAAAAGCTGACTTTGTCACCCGTCTCCAGGTGAGAATTACTCTCAACATCATCAGGAGTGTAAGTAAGATAAAACACTTCCTGCAGAAAGTAACAAGAAAACAAATGACTTAAGAGACTGGAGAAAAAACAAACAAAAATCACATGAAAAGTATAAATGAACATATAACATTTAGAATGACAAATTATACAGTGGAAGTGTATCCGAGCAGCCCTTTAGACTCCCATTTCTTACCCCATTTCTTTCGTAACAAACGCTGCCGGTGGGTACCTGACCAGGAGCAGACTTCCCATCCAAATGCATGGGAATTGATGAGACAACCTGCAGTAAAGGTAGAATATTTCAGGTATAGGCCACCGGTAACACAGCTTTATCAGATTTAGCAGAATATTCACTTAATTTCCATGACTCTTCAGGTAATGAATGATTCTCCAGGTAATGAATGATTGTTTTGAGATGAAATAGAAACTCACCAAGTGATATGTATATGGCTGTACTTAAACAAAATACAAACACTAACTGATGTTTTGTTGATCAGTATGTTTAGGATTGAATAAATCAAGAGTGCGTGCTGATTTAAAGAGTCACAGTGATCCCAACATTTTACAGTTTGACTAATATATTGATATAAATGGTATAAATTGCATTTTATGATTCATACAGCAATGACTGCATTACATGTCTGGTATCAATCAACTCTGCTGAAGACTGATCAGTCTAAATAAATGGGCTCAAAGCTGTGTAACACGCTTTTATTCTCATGATTAGTTTTAGTCTAGAAACTCAACAAAAACACACTCATCACTTGACCAAATCTATCCAGTCAAAGTCTAGAAAACACACGCCAATGACGAAGCAAACACAAATTTTATGTAAGAAGTCATGCGGGACTGGAGGGGAAACAATTTTTGGTGGGAGTGGGCAATTTGAGTAAAACTGACAAACAAGGACATAACCAAAAATAAAATGGTGTTCCTTAACTGGATGAATATAACCATGCAGCACAGTAAAGGGATAGACGTGCAGGTCTGGCCCCACCTGGCCCGATATGCGCTCCTCTGGCAGCACTTCTGGCTTTATCTTTAGCAGCTTCACTGCTATGGGCTTGCCAGTGCGCCTGTCAGAGGATACCTCAAACTCTACATCATCTGGTGGAAGAAAAAGGACCAAATTTTAAAAAATAATCTAAAGTAATAGGCAATTACATCTTGAATGGAGACATTTTGTTTGAAAAGCTTTAGTTTTTACACTAATAGAACCTCATACCTCCGATTTTAAGCTCCTGAAGGTTGCCGTTGTACTGGGAGCAATGGAAGAAGAGACGAGCCTGACGTTCGGAGCACTGGATGAACCCATATGAAGCCAAGAGCTTCTCCACCACCCCAGTCTCTCTAAGGCCAGATCCTGAGCCATTTGCAAATGCAGTGTGTCCATTGTTGTGGAGCATGCCTGGGTCGAAACTCATCTGGAGAAAAGCAGAAAAGTTTAAAATACATCCAATAAATGGGAATACAAATGAAATGCACAATAAATAAAACAAAACAGGCAGGAAACAGTTCAGTGCATTCTAAAGCCAAATTAAAATCAAAGAAAAAAATAAAACATGCAACTGCTGCAAAACTCAGAGGGTGTGGCAAAAAAATAAAATAAATCTAAGGCACATTAGTCTTGTCAAACAGCGAGCACTACAAATTCAGTATTTCAAATCCATGAACAAACAATAAAACGGTGTCCCTTTATGGTTAAATCATAGAGAAAAACCCAAATGCGCTCAAATAATGAAAAATCTTAAAACTAAAGCACCATGGTACAGACAAAATGAGGACATGTGCAATTCTTGTTATGTAAACATTAAAATGATTCACCTTATAAGTATCAACAACCAACTGATTAAACTGGAATATAATTTGAGACTATGAAAAATCTTATATTTGTAAATATATTTTACCTCCAGACCCAGTAACCATGCTGTTAGCAAAAGTCACACAACACATTAGAGCTCCCAGAGCCAGTTTGGACACAACTAAATATTTAATCTTACTGATCTCTGATACAAGGGAGTCCGCTTGTATTTTTTACTTCCTGGATGAGGGTGGCATGAGACAGAAGAGGAACGGGGTATAGGAACGGGACATGTAGAAGAATCTGTGGCTGAGCCTGTGTTGCGGGCAACAGGGGGTTCAGACGAGCCCCTTTCCATTTTTGACACAGAGGACAGGGCTGGGACCGGCTGTTGGAAAAGGTAACAGCTTTAAAAAAGGAGCATTTTAGCTCGCTTACCCCTTTAAAAATATATAATAAATAAAATGTAAATAAAAACAGATGTTTTGTGGCATAAATTTGCAAAGCACTGCCCAACAGCTATATTTTTCTAATTTTAGGTCTCTTTTATACACCAAATATACAATATTCCAGCTACAGTAAACATATTTCTGTTTCAATATTTTAATTGAAACTACCATTAACAAAACTTATTGGAATTACTTTTGAATATAAAACCCGAAATCCAAACGGTTGTGCTGAAAAATGGGCACACAACCATATTCTTTCAATACAGGGATCACTCTTTGGCACCACAACAATAAGTTGTACATTCAAACAAAAACTCTCTACAGAAAGAAAGAACTAAAGTCAGATTCTTGGCACAGGCATTTAAGATGGTGATTTAGGAACAATGTTGCTGATGTTACCGAAATAAAATACGACTACTGAAGATGAAAAATCGAAAGATGCACAGACCGTTCAAACAGCAGTACATCTACAAGTGGACAGAGCTAGAGATGGATTATGGTGCATGAGGGGGATCCCAGAGCAGCCTCTCTTGTTAGATCCAGTTTTGAACTCTTACGCAATAAAACGCTTCACAAAACAACACAAATGAAAGGCAGGAAGTGTTAAATTTTGGCTCCAGTCTGGCAAATAAACCAAAAAAGAGGCAATACAAATAAAACTTTGTGCCGACAAGTGAATGTTTTTAGGTAATAATTTCCATTTCTCAAATCAATGCAAGTTTGGCTTGTATTTCTGCTATGTGATAAAGCTAAAACAAGTGAAATGTACTTCCAAAATTATTTGCCACTTTTGACTGAGAAGAAAGGCAGACAAAACTTGGAGATAAGAAAAATAAAAGCTCTCTAGATTAAAGCCAAATTCCCAGAAATCTTGTTACCAGAACACCTCTCACTCAGCAACAACAGAACTGAGTAGAGGCTAGTCTCGGGAGCCCATAAGGATGGAGATTAGGCCATTCATAGCAAAGATGCAGGGCAAGGTGGGTGGATGGGTGCTCGATGGGGTGGGACTTTTTCCTTTTTTTTTTTTAAAAGACGGGAAGGAAAAAACTTACAGATCGACCATATGGCGACAGGCTGAGTCCGACAGGGGAGGTACTGCTCAGGTCAGCACTAACAAACGCGGTAGGTGGTGAAGCAGGCAAGGTAAACTCAACAAAGCCTTTCCAGGGACTGCCCATATTTTCCCATAAACTTGAGCCAACCTTGATTACTTGTTAGAATTTTCGACGACTTAAGAAAAATTCAGTAACCACCCAGTGATACACCGGCGGACGTCTGCAAGGGTGAAGAGAGGAACAAACATAATGGGTAATGAAGATAGGACAGCCAGTGTGCCAAGTGTCACAAACAAAAGGAAAAAATAAAAGCTGAGCCTTCAACTGGAAGGGAAGTTTAGAAGGCAAAACTTAGAGGAAGGCAATCCAATCATTATTTAATGAAACTGAATGACCTGATTAAATATATAGTGGTTGGTGAGGCTCCAGATCTACCGGCTAATGTCGTCTTGTTCAACTCAGTTTGACAATGAATAACCAAGTACACAAAATGCGCTGTAAAATCAGCTGTGAATGAAAACCCAAAGATGCAACTTTAAATAACTTAACACGTTTAAGGGACTGTAAAAACAAAACTAATTTCAAAAGAAGGCAAAAAACTATGTTTAGTAAAACTAGATGCCTAAATTGAGATGCAAATTACTATTTGTGACCTGTGCTGGCAAAAAAAAAGTGGGTTAACGTATTTTGCCAGCACGAGTGACGTTTGTTCACTTTAATAAGAATTTCTGCACTGCTGTCACCAATTGCTGCAGGAGACCCAACTAATTTAAGAATGTTTAAATAGTCTGCTTCTTAAACCAAATACTTAAAAGTGGCATCTCAATGATTTGCAACTGACTAAAGACCAGCTGGTAAAAAAATAAAAATCCCCCAAAATTTGGGGAAAATTGAAAGTGTGATTTTTCAGCTGAGCGTTTGTGATAGTCTACAGAGCCGTAAAAGTCACAGCCCATTTTTGTGTGCACAACTTGCAAACCTGAATTTACGCCATGAACATGATTTTGTTTTCCATCTTTTTTGCACCCACCTTGAAAACTGCCAGCCCCCACGTTCATAATTTAACCTGGAGTACAGTTTTGAAATAAGAATAAGCAGCTATGGGCCAGATTTTTAATAATTACCATTTACCAGTGTGGTTTTTAGATCCAGACATTTACCTCTGATGTTTTCTGCCAGAAGAAATCCATCTTTTTCTCGAGACTGGTCAAAATTCAGATAGATTTGAGATGCACACAAAGACTCTGTGACCATTTCAAGAGAAAAAGTTGTCGCACAAATTTCTTGAACATGGTCAAAACTCAAGTGAAAAGGCTGCATGCCTGTGATGCATGCGAGGACGTTGAGAAACCTGGAAAGGTTTAGACATATTCAGAAGACTCTCATAAATACTGTTCACAAAAAACCTGCAGCCCAGTGAAATACCTGCTTAAACAAAAGGCTTAAATGTTTTAAACATGGCAGTTTATGAGTGATTAAGCAGTTGAGACTCACCTTTAGTGGTTGACTTTATATCTTTCAATTCTCTGGATCTTGATGACTTTGTAGACCTCTTCACTCACTCACACACATACACAAAGTTTAACACACTCACTCCTAACAGGTTTCTCACACAAGTTTTAAATGGTTGCATAAAGTAGAAAAAAGAAATTGGGAGAAATCTAGCACACAAGAAGGCAATTGCAGTTGCAGTAACACTGCTTAAAAAATTACAAAGAAAACAAAGGGAGGAGAAAATGGGGGAGATGGGAGGGAACAATGGAAGGGAACTAGCAGATAGCAGCCCACTCTACACTCTGGTGGTGAGTCGGCAGCGTAGTAAGGATGAGGAGGGCTAGGAGCAGCGTTGGGACGTGTGCTTTGACAAAGCTGTTGAGTAGGCACAAACTTCTGGTTTCAGATCAGTTATCTTCTCAGAATATGCTTGGGCGTGTGATTGCTTCTCCTTTCTCTTGTTTCGGTTGGGCAGATACGTGTTGTTCTTTGGTTGTTTCAGGATTTGGTTTCTCGTGTTTAAAATCCTTGAAGTGATCCTTTTCCTCCCGCGTGTTTTCAGAAGTTGCAAATTTTGTTCCGGAGGTTTGTCTTCAGTTCCTTTGTTGTGATCTGAACTTGAAGCAGTTGCGGATGGTACAAAAATTCAGTTCGGCTTCACTTCATACTGTTGGGGAGGGAAAAAGCAGATCTAGTTAGAGAAGAGTCCACTGCTATGACTTTACACCCAATTAATTTTTTTTTATTTTTTTAAAAGGTTTAAAAAAAGTTTGCAGTGAAAATGCAAAAAACAGAACACTGGATTCTTTATTTAAACCCGACGGTAAAATATATTTTCTAAAAATGTTTGAGGGGGAGAAATGTCAGGAAGCTTAAAAGTAGTCATGAGACTTAATTCAAGTAATAACACTTAAAGCAACATTACAAAACAAGGCCCTCAGTTTTGTCAATCAGCCTTTAACTTTTTAAAGACCAGAGTTCAGATGATGCAAAGGTGAGAACCAAAGAGAAACCTGGTTTATCATGTGTACATATTTGTTTAGTTAGAAACACAGAAATCCAACATGTAGAATGTTGTTGACCCAAATACCCTGCTCCGTAAACAAGCAGGCCGAGCCCTCCTGACACATGATATGCTGCTGTGGCTGTGTCGCAATGACTCAGTCCTACATCCTCGAAAGGCCACGACGAGAAGTTTCTAGCCTCAGCCAAGTTAAAAAACTGGGAACTTTTTGGAAATCTCTCTCATTAACACACAAACAAAGACAGAATGATGCCTGCATGTCACGTGTTGCGCAAAAAAAAAAAAAAACTACAGTATTTTCATGTGCAGATAGTTTGCAAGTGTGGCAAAGGTTACATGCCATAAACAGAGTTGTTTTTCTTCCCCCATTAAAGTAGACTCAGATAAGATAAAATTCTCAAAGCAGAAAAAGATTGCACTCAATAACTTTCTAATCAGTACAAAAAAAAATATTGCTCAACTCATTTGTAACATAAAAAACAACGACCATAGAAAATCTCGGTTAAACAACAACGTCCCTGATTATGTCTAGGCCTGAAAAAGAGGACGGGTCAAACACGTGACTTCCTGGCAATCCGCTAGTCTCACCTGAAACATGACGTTGCTATGTGCATCATAGAAATGTCACAATTTCAACAAAATGAAGAAAGAAAAAAACACGATAAAACTCAGAAATGTGAAAACTATCAATCATGAATCCCACATACTCTCTACTGAGTAAACAAACGCAGCAAGAGATAAATCCTATCGTCTTAATGCCCTAATTTAGGATCTGTTAAGTTCTTAACTCTTCAGTGTTAGCTGCTCCTGAGGCGGAGGGGAAAAACACGAACAACGTCATACTGTGAGCTATAGCTTTTAAGACGTATTAGCTAGAAGCTTCTTCTTTTTTAATGTTTGCGCAACCCGTCCTGATATTCTGATAACATAAATTACCATTTTCTATTATGTGGAAAGATTACCTTTATCAGATTGATAACTATCCATTTAAGGCTTGTTGCTTATTACAGATGATAAAACATGCTGCCCATTTAAAAACCGTAATTGGAGTGACGTTCCTCGGCGAAATTAAACACAAAACGGAGATAGAAACAGATAAATGGAAAGATACGAGACTAATTAGACGACCCGAAACAAATATACCCTTGTAACTAATCAACAGCTAACGTTAAACACAAAAATGTGCTTTAATTTTCTCATACGCAGCGAAGCAACAAGAGCAGAAACGTTAGAGCTAGCAGCACTAAGATTAGAAAACAAAGAAACTACGTGCACGGCTTTTAAGTTCCGCGTTTGTCTCTTATGATACTATAATCTACAAAAGTGGCATGTCTGTAGCACGTTGGGCGCATTTCAGTTACAACAAAATGAGCTTGTCGACCGTTACAAACGTCGTTCGGTCATTTGTCGCGTTAGCCAGTTAGCTAGAGCACGCGCTGATGCCTAAAAAAAAAGGAAAAACAAGGCGCCCCCACCCAGGCCCCGACTTCTACGTGACACCAAGCGCGAGATAACCCACTCACTTTCACAAATTTTACGTTTAATACGAAGTAAACTGGCTGTTATACGCTCATATGTTTATTTTTCACGGTTTTACAAATAAGGGAAATTTGTAAAAACTCACCCCAACAGCTTTAGCACTGTTCCAGCGCCGCGTGAAGCAGCACGGCACATAACGTAGTGATTTGGGAGACGGCTCCCGCGATATTTGACCAAGAATGTTTGTTCGGAAGTCGCGCAACGGCTTATGGGAAATGTAGTGTATAGCTGTTTTTCGGTATGTCACTTTCCATTTATGATTGGAAGCGTTTAAATACTAGTAAGTCTGAGTTGTTGCTATAATTATGTTATTATTATATACTTTTATACACATTTATGGGGCGGCTGTGGCGTTAGAGCAGTCGTCCTCCAATGCAAAAGTTGGGGGTTCAATTCCACCAGCAGTCACATGCCTAAGTGTCCCTGGGCAAAACATTGAACCCCTCATAGCCTCCGATGTGTGTCCCATCGGTGTATGAATGTGATAAAGCCCTGATGAATCTTTGTATAGATATAGCAGAGTGCTGTATGAATGGGTAAATGAGGCACCGATTGTGTTGTAAAGAGCTTTGAGTGTCTTGATCAGACAGAAAAGTGCTATAAGTACAATCAATTTACCATTTTACATTTTAGATCAGTTAACATACCTTCTTGCCTTATATTTCAACAAAGCAGAACCCATTCAGAAGACCAGACTCAGCATAGACTTTTGGACGATCTTTCTTCCTTTGTAGTTGATCTGTTTTTTCACTGATTTTTATTACCGGCAGTTTCAGTCCATTTACTAACCATTTATAAAGAAATGTTTTGTTTTTTAAGCCTTTAAGTTCTATGAATCAAACATTGAATTTTTTTTATCAACCTTTATTTATACAGCTTAGTTTCAATGAACCTTGGGGACTCATTTACAAGAGAGACCTGTTTTTTTTTTTTTTTTAACAAATAATGACAACAATAGACAATTATAAAAAAAAAGCATATCAATTGGGAAAAATAAGAAAATGATATTAAAAAAACGAAACAATAACAGCTACAATGTACAATATAAAGTGATGTAGAAAACTAAAAACAGGAACATGTCTGCATTGGTTTTGCCATGAACTTAGCAGTTGTTTGAAGCCACTTAGAGAGGTGAAGGTCGAGAGCTTCAGATCTTTTTGCAAGATATTCCAGGAAACAGGAGCGGAGTAGGAGAAGGCCGTTTTGCCTAGTTCAGTCCGCACTGAGGGAACACTGCAGGTAATAATGTCCTGAGAGCGCACGCTGTAGCTGCACTCACGCAGAGACATGTAGGAGGAGATGTATGAAGGCAGCAGACCAAGACGTGATTTAAAGATGAAAATGTACCAGTGGGAGAGTCTGCGTGAAGTTAATGATGACCAGTTAACCAGTGAATACAGGGTGCAGTGATGAGTACGGTAGTTACAGCCAGTTATGAATCTTAGTGCACCGTGATAGACAGTGTCCAACATCTGCAGGGTGCTTGTGAGAGCGTTCATGTAAATAATGTCAACGTAGTCGATGGAGGGAAGGAAAGTTGCAGTTACAAGGTGTTTCCTAGCATTCAGAGATAGACAGGATCTATTTCTGAAAAAGAAACCCAGTTTAACTTTCGGTTTCTTTACAAAGTTTTCGACTTGGAGCTTAAAAGAGAGATGCGAATCGACCAATTGAGTGAGTGTTTTTTCTGTTACCGGCGACTTTACCCATGCTCATTATTAACTGTAAGCAGGGCGTTTGAAAGGTGAAAACCCATTTAATTAGAAAATCTCCGCAAACATGGACGTGTGTTCTTGCCATTACATGAAAACGATTAATAAACTGATCAGTTTCATTGAAGGCTTGAAAGAGTCAGCTTTGAAAGACCAGCCACGGTTATCTGTTACTGTGGTCCTGAGTCCTCACCAGATGTGAAGTCATGCAGTTCCACAACAGGGTTTAACTTTTCCTAAAGATTTTGTAAAAAAAAAAAATAATAATAATAATAATAATTCAGGTAAGCGGATGGTATGATGTCTCAGCTGGTAAAGCTGTCACCTTTCAGTGAGAAAGTTGCCGGATTGAATCCCGGCCTGGCACCTTTCTGGGTGGAGTTTGCATGTTCTCACTGCGCATGTGTGGGTTTTCTCACGTACTCTGGTTTCCTCTCTCAAACCAACATTCATGTTAAACTAAACTCTAAATTCTCCCTAGGTTAAACTATTTTAACGGGGATGGCTTGGTTACGTTACCAACAAGGAAACGTATGTAATTATCTACGCGTTTTCTTTGTTGGTTTCATTTTGGAGCGTAGAACAAACAAAGAAGGGAGGAGCCTCAGGAGTAAATAAGCTCTTCGATGCAACACAGGAAGTGACGTTGCCTTTTTTTTATTTTTTTGCCTCACAGAAACTAACGAAGTTGTCAAGAGTAATTACTTTTTTTCATTTCTATGTCTAGTTTTAAAGTCTACCAGTGAGATATTAAAGAAGTCTCGCGTCGGTATGGGTAGTTTTTTGTAAAAAGATTTGAGCTGTTGTGCTAATATAGCCAGCGGAAGTCGTATTTGAGCCTCGTATTTTGAAGCTGCTAGCTAGCTTACGTTACCGTCACGACTTGAGAGTTCTCAGTAAATGGCCTGCACTTTAGAAAAAGTGTTGTGCGATGCCCGGACCCTTCTGGACAGGTTAAAAGAGCACGATACGGCCGCTGAGGGACTAATCGAGCAGTCCGGGGCCCTTAGCGGAAGAGTGCAAAGCATGAGGGAGGTGGAGACGGCTCTTCCAGACAAGGTAAAGCTGGTTGTTTACAAGAATTGACTAAACATTGAAATAACTTGGAGCTTGTGCATTCAGCTGTTTAGTAAATTTAATTTTTCTTACACCCCCCCCCCCCACACACACACACACACAAATCTTACTGAAATAACTTGAAACTTGCAAAAAAAAAAAAAAATACTGAAATTAATGAAAATCAGACATGGCTTTTGAAATTTGGTTCAAATTCAATTCAATTCAAATATACTTTATTAATCCCAGAGGGAAATTATTTGTTGTAGTAACTCGTTATCCTCATTTCATTGAGATGTTATAGATACTAATGGCTGTAAACAGGAAGGATCTCTTGTAAAGGTCCATCCCACAGTGGATCCTAAGAAACTGGCTGCAGATACCGTCTGATCCGTCCACCCAGACTCGGCTGGCCTCTTGGTTCCCCGGGCTGTAGGACCGCCTAAATGCCGGGCAGAACTCCTCCCAGAGCGATGGCCACTCCTCCCAGCAGTCTGTCGAGCTCCTTGTCGCTGTGGACAGCCAACCAGGTGCCAAGGGACGATCCTGTCCTTCTACTGTCATGAGTCGTGTTTCCTGCTAGTTCCAGGATCTCAGTGGTCAGGCACTCGAGCACAGCTGGCAGGTAGATGAGAATGCATCCACAGAACATCCTTTTCAACTCATTTGAGATTTGGGGCTGTAGTTTAGATATTATTTGAGCTTTTGAGGTGTTGATCAGCTGCTGATGGTTGTAGAAAACTGCCTTGTTGCCATGGTTACGCATCATAACAAATGTCCAAAACTAAAAAAAGTTTCAGTAAAAATCCTTCCAGCTGCACAGCATCTGATACCAGAGGAAACGATCATCCAAAAAAAGTGATTTACATCCAGAAAAAGAGGAATTAAAGTTTCCAAAAGCAAAATCTCAGAATGAAAGTAACAGAGCTGCTCCAACATGCAGCCACCTTGAGCGGTGCAGTTCTAGAACTCGGAACTCGGTTCAGCGGGTTAGTTTAATAAAAAAAAAAAAATAATATATATATATATATATATATATATAGCTGACCTTGATTTCAGAGAATGGTACACCAAGAAAATATTTTAAATAATCTGACCTAGTGTGCCATGTCAGCATCACAGGTGTCTTTTCTTGTAATCAGTTAGTCTGCCTATTTAGAGGGTGAACCAAAGTGTGCGGCTTAGTCTCCTGGTGTGTATCACACTGAAGATGAACCACAGAAAGATAAGAACAGAGTTGACTCAGGAGCTAATAAATAAATAAATACAATTATCAAGTATGTTAATGGTAAAAGCCACAAGACCATCCCCAATAAGCTTGATGTTCCTCTGTTTTGTTCCTCTGTCTTGTTCTAGAAGTGCGCCGCTCAAGGTGGCTGCATGTTGGAGCAGCTCTGTTAGTTTCATTCTGAGATTTTGCTTTTGGAAACTTTAATTCCTGGTTTTCTGGATGTAAATCATATTTTTAGGATGATTGTTTCCTCTGGTATCGGATGATGTGCAGCTGGAAGGATTTTTACTGAAACTTTTTAAGTTTTGGACATTTGTTATGATGCGTAACCATGGCAACAAGGCTGTTTTCTACAACAACAGCAGCTGATTAACATCTCAAAAGCTCAAATAATATCTCAACTACAGCCCTAAATCTCAAATGAGTTGAAAAGGATGTTATGTGGACGCATTCTCATCTACCTGCCAGCTGTGCTCGAGTGCCTGACCACTGAGATCCTGGAACTAGCAGGAAACATGGCTCACGACAGCGGAAGGACAGGATCGTCTCTCAGCACCTACAGTTGGCTGTCCACAGCTATGAGGAGCTCAGCAGACTGCTGGGAGGAGTGGCCATCGCTCTGGGAGGAGTTCTGCCCAGCATTCAGGCGGTCCTACAGTCCAGGGGAACAGAGAGGCCAGCCTAGTCTGGGTGGATGGATCGGACGGCATCTGCAGCCAGTTTCTTAGGATCCACTGTGGGATGGACCTTTAAAAGAGATCCTTCCTGTCTACAGCCATCAGCATCTAAAACATCTCTTAATGAAATGAGGATAACGAGTTATAACAACAAAATAATTTCCCTCTGGGATTAATAAAGTATTTTTGAATTGAATTTGAATTGAATTGTTTAGTACAGCTGCATATATTCGTTTTAAGGTCAAACTCCCTGAACGAGACTGGAAGAAGAAAATTATTTTAGAAGTGGACTCCAAGGTCAAAGTGCATCAGTGTCAGATCGCCCCAGTGGCTTGAGCCTAAGTGGACTTGGTGACAGGATGACACCACTGCTGAAAGTAAATCATAAAAAAATGAGATCAGATTTACCAAAAGGCATATAGACAAACCAAAAAAAAAGCTTATGGGAGACTGTCCTTTAGACAGATTAAACAAAACTAGTTTGGTTGTTTTGGCAAGAGCAAAACAAAAGCTCAGGACGGGAACACTGAACCTACAGTGAAATATGGAGGAGGCTCAGTTCTGTTCCAGGGAGGCTTTACTGCATCTGGCACGGGGTACAACGAGTCTTCAAGATTATCAAGGCATCCTGGAGCTAAATGTGAGACACGATTTGAGAAAACTTGGTCTTCTTAGCTCTGATCTAAATATGTGGAAGGAACTCAAACATCTGGAGCAGGAGCCCTTCAAACGTGAGACAACTGAAACAGTTTCCCCAAGAGGAGTGGACCAAAACACTTCTGGACAGGTGCAGAAATCTCAGAGTTAAATCATTTGACTTGTCTCAAAGTGTGCAACAAAATAAGTTATTGATGTCCATTTTTTTCCAAGACCAGTTTCATTAGTTTTTTTAATTTACAATTTTAACACGATTCAAATCAATATTTGCATTAATTGATCTTCAGTGCATCTTTTTTCCTATTTTTACTTTTTTCACTTATTTCAAGCTATTTCAGTAAACCGTTCTTTCTTTAAAGAAAACCTACAAATATGTCTGTTTGTTATGAAAAATTAGTATAGTTACACATTCAGATTTTGTAATCGACCCAATTGAATGAACTATTTTGTAATATGTATTGGCATTTTGTCAGGGTCGTGTAGTTACTTTTAATCACTCACAACAGGAAGCAAATGTTTCACTTCACCTTACTGGCATTTTTAAATACCTTCACAAGTCAAATTAGGACCTGTGTGAGTTGCATCAATGAGCCTCTAACTTTATTTTTTTAAGTAATTCAAGAAAGTTTGGTGATTTTCTTGTTCCTTTCGTCTTCTCTCAGCACACAGAAGACAATTCAGAGATTCAAGAGCTTACAAAGTGCAAGCCTCACATCCTTTTGATTCAGGAAAACACTCAAATTAAGGAGTTACAGCAGGAGAATAAAGGTAAAAATCTTTCTGTTTTTGTGATTTTTATTATTTCTGTTTGATATAGCTAGTAATATACTCCTTTTGTCTGTCTCTGCAGAATTATGGCTGTCTCTTGAAGAACACCAGTACGCATTAGAACTGATCATGGGTCGATATCGCAAGCAGATGCTCCAGCTGATGATGGCAAAAAAGGATCTGGACACCAAACCAGTGCTTAGCCTTCACCAAGACCATGCTAAAGTAAACCGTCTTTCTTTGAGTTAATACAATTATTTTTTTTTTTAAAGTTTTATAACATATGTTCATTAAACAAATTTCTGATTTCAGGAAGTGCAAAGCCAAGTGGAGCGAATATGCGAGATGGGTCAGGTGATGAGAAAAGCCATGCATGCAGACGATCAGCACTACTGCTCTGTAAGAGAGAGGCTCGCCCAACTGGAGGTGAGCACAAGAACAGTGAGAGCAACTTCACAAGCTTTGATCACATCCACTTATCCAAAAAAAGAAAAATTAACATTTTGATACCATCATGCTGTTTTTGTTTGATGGAAAGATCAGAAATGATGCGTGCGTACAAACCTCAGCCAGGACATCCATTGCTGCATGTACTATCATCAAAGTCCAATTCATCACAGTCACGACAAGAACCAGTAAAGCCCCGTCTTTGGTTCATTTTTCCAGCGGCAGCAACAACCTCAGTTCTGGGAACAAGTTGTGACGCAGAGTAAAATGTACATCAAAGCAGAATGCAATTATTTGCAAATTGCACAAATCCTTATTTTATTCACAATAGAACTTAAGTGAAAAATGTCATTTGTTGAAATGATAAAACTACAATACTTGGGAGAGAAAAATGTATTTGTGAATTTTATGGCAGCAGCACATCTCCAAACACTTGGGTCGGGCCCATGTTTCCCACTTTGAAGCAGCACCTCTTTTTTTTTAACAACGGTCTGTAAAGGTTTAGGAACGGAGGAGATCAGCTGCTGGAGTTTTTGGACAGGAATGTTGTCTCGTTGTCTGTAGGACTCCGGCTGTTCAACAGTCCTGCTTCTTTTTTTCCTGAATCTTTTGATGGATGTGAACATAGTTTGTTGTAAAACCTGTGTACACTTTTCTGCATCGATGGCGCCTTTCCTGGCTCATTAGCTGCCCATGCCGGAGGCACTAATGCACCCCTATATATCAGAGAGGCAGGCTTTTGAACTGGGTGCTGATAAGTCAAGATGGTCCCTCCTCCAGTGCGGAGGATGTGGCGTTCGTGGTTTCAAAAAGATCTTCACATCTCGATTTGTCTGACCACAGAACAGTTTTCTACTTTGCCTCAGTTCGTTTAAATTAGTTTCAGTCCAGAGAAGACATTGGTGTTCACGTATTCTTCTTCTTTGCATGAAAGAACTTTAACGCACATGTTGAACTGTGTTTACAGACAATCATTTGTGCAAGTCTTCCTGAGCCCAGCATGTACTGAACAGAGTAACAGAGGGCCTGAAGATCCCGAGCATTGAGCTCAGTGATTTCTTCAGATTCTTAAAATCTTTTGGTGTCATTATGAACTGTAGATGATGGGATCATCTAAAATATTTCCAATTTCCTATTGAGGAACGTTATTCTGAAATTATTAAAAATAATCCACTGTTTTTGGAGGCAGTTTTTAGCAGACTGGTGAACCTCTGTACATCGTTTCTTCATTGTAGTTCGATTATACCGCCTGAAGTCATTTGGATGTTATCTTTGGTTATTCTTCCTCCTTCAGATTGAAAACCGAGAGCTTCGAGACCTTTTGGCGATCAGCAAGGGATCTGTGAAAACGGGGACCGAAGAAACCAACCAGCCGTCAACGCCAGCAGCAGTGTGGGAACACTCCCCTCAGGCAGCGACTGAGTGATCGGAACTGCTTCAGACTGAACGATGGATGGATGGAAAGAAGGAAAGGAGTCCATAAGAAATGAAAGACAGTTTTTGTACATAACACTGAATTCAGTCACATATCATTGTAGCTAACAGAATGATTTCCCTGTGGGTGTATTTATGAGACTTGTCATTATGTACAGTTGATGTACGATCACTGCGGTAACTTTGCAGTGAATTCCAGGTAACCCTCCTGCTGCCCTTTGGTCAAAATGCCTCACATGACCTCAGTTCTGAGCCTGAGGTTCATTTTGATCCAAAGACAGTAGGAGGGTTAAAAAAAAGTGTTTGTAATGGGCTGATCTGGGTTTCACTGACACGTTTAATGTTGATCTAAATGCTGGAGGAAAGAGAAGAGTATTTCTTTTGTTGGTTGAAGGACAGACTCACTCTTTAAGAACATCATTTCTACTCTTTGGGTTTACTCTTGCTGTTACTGACACATCTGGAATGAGTGAAATGTAGCCATCCATTTCATAAAACTAGCTTATAATTTATGTTACATGTGAGACTTTGTGCACGCTGCCAAGGAAACAGCAATTTGCTGCTTCTCAAAGATTTCACTGCTAAGGAGAGTCCACGAAAACTGTTTTTAAAGAAAAGTTTTAAAGTTTGTTGGCTCTGCCATTTAAGCCGTTTTCAACAGCAGTCTCTGTTCGGGCGTTCCAGCCTGATTTTAAACGTGCAGTTCTGCCGTTGCTGAAGAAACGACCTTGATTTATCTCTTCGCAGATTGTAGACCCATTTCAAAACTTCCTGTTTTTATCAAAAAGTACAGAAAGGATAGTTTTTATTCAGCTGCAGCTTTTTTCAAACGCACACACAATGTTCTTGAAATGTTTCCGTCTGGTTTGAAAGCCCTTCACAGCACAAACTGCAAGTTTGAAGGTTTTTAATTATATCGTGAAGCTACAGATTCGGACGACTCGGCTATCCATTTGCTTTTAGACCTAACCGCTGCCTTTGACGCAGTTGACCACGACATCTCCACCTCCCGCCTGGAGCGATGTATCAAATATGCTGGTGAAGATTCTCAGTCATCCAGGTCATGATCAAAAATAAAAACTTTAAGATGTTTTGCTTCCCATCCTGGAGACTTTACCGATTTTAAAGTGTTTGGAGTGTCCAAGCTTTATAGAACTGCATGAGAGGCCTGGTTGTGTACCGGTACTTGGATTCACCTGCAGATTTGACTGAAACTACTCGCCCTGCACAATGGAGGCTCGTTGGGGTCTGGCTCACGAGAGAGATGTTTTGGTCACATGTTTGAAGGTGGAGTGAAGCTGACTGGGAGTCAGGCCTAATGCTGCATTGTAAGTTTTTGAAAGTTAAAAAATGAGACCTTTTGTTTTTAAACAGAGGAGGTCCATTGTGTGGGGCGAGAAGTTCCAGCATAATCTGCAGGTGAATCTAGCTGCACAACCAGGACTGCACACCCCGGACATTTTTGAATTGATAGTCTCCCAGACTTGCGTTGAAACGTATTCAGCTTCAGAATGTAGTTTTTTGTTAAACCTTTTTTTTTTGAATATGGTATCAAAGGCTTGACGTTTGACTGTTTCAGGTCTGATCTGTGACAGATCTGTTAGCCTGTGAGAATCTGTTTCATCTCCATCACGTTCCCCAAAGATTTATTGATAGATCTTGTTTGTTTTCCATCTACACCCCCACCACGTTTAGAAATTTACCATATCTTCATTTCTATGCAGGCAACACCCACAGTTAAACCACTGTTCAATTGCTTCACCGAATTTCAACATTTCAATGAGAATCTAACAGAAGTTATTATTTTTGGTCCAAGTGGAAAAGGAACAGATTAGTTCTACAGTAAGAACATTTATTCTTTTAGTGAAATCGTTTAATCACTTTGAAGGGGTGAGTCGTGTTTTTATTGCCTCAACATGTACAGTAGGTGTTAGCCAGGCTGGCCTGTCGTGACTGCAGTGAGTTCAGAACGCTGCAGCTTGACCTTTAAAAAGAAAGCATGAACTTATCTCCCTGGTGCTGACTTCCCTTTATTGGCTCCCTGTTTGTTTTAGAATTGATTAAAAAAGTTTCATTGATTACGTGTAAGGCCCTTAATGGGCGGACACTGTATCTGTCTTGACCTCCTGCAGCCTTACGTCTCCTCCATGTCTTAGATCCTGATGTCCAGGCTGGTCCGTAGAGGTGATCAGACTTTTTCAGTTGTAGCTCCTAAACTGCAGAACCAGCATCATTTTAGACGGTCATCAACTCTTGGTGTTTTTAAGTCGTATGAAAACACATTTGAGCTCACTGGCTTTTATTACAGCATGAGAGCTGATATTTTTTGCATTGGTTTTATTTTATGTCCTTTTTGTTGTTGTTATAGTCTCTTGCGTTTTGTGCGGTCTTTATTTGTTTTGTGTGCAGCACTTGCCAACAGCAATTTTGAAATGTGCTATATAAATTTGAAGTATAGAAAATTTATAAATGTCATATTTACTAGTTACAAAACAGGGTTTTGTGTTTTATGGCATGATGAGCAGCATCAGTTTTCACATTTGGATCCAGAGTAAACATATAGCAGCTGATGGGACATTTTTGTTGGCAACCTTTTCAAAACATGACAACTTTTTGTGTAATTGATATGTGCTTGTGCACTGTATCTTGTCATCTCAGGAAATCAGTGTTGGTTAAAAAAATGTGTGATAAATGTACAATTCTGTAGTGTTTTTGAGTAAAATAAAATAAATTTAAACTACTTGTACAGGAATACAAAGTTTTGTTTGTGCAGTTCAGTTTCTTACCGCAAGGTGGCGATATTTAATTATCAAGTGTGATATTCGGATAATCAACCTTCTGCTGCTTTCAAGTGATAAAAGCATAAACATTTCCTTGTCTGCTTAGTTATTTTAAATATATCAACAGTATTCGAGTAATGAAGTAATATAATAATGATATTATATTTTTTGCTGTAATTCCGAGTTTAATTCTTTCGAATGGAGTATTTCCGACAACACGTGAAGGCAGCACCGGAGCAGCGTTTGACTGTTAGCCCTGGATCGCAGCTAAGTCAGTATGTCGGAGAAGGAACTTGGGAAAAAGTGGGACCGATGCCTCGCAGATGGTGTCGTTAAAATCGGTAAATATAGAGGAGTCTTCGGCTTGTAACGTTACAGTACTACCCCGAGTTAAAAACACAAAAAGCCAGACATTTTACAGCACTACTTCACATCTGTCATTGACTGAGCTAGATGCTAACTAGCTAGCTAGCTGCAAAGGGCAACTAAAGACCAGTAAAATATGACTTATTAGTTAAACTTGTGCTTCCCTATTTTTAGATTTTGTAGTTTATCTCATTGGTAAGAAGAACCAAGAGGAAACGTTTAGTAAAAAGTGTTAGTTTTTATATGTAGCTCCACTAAAAGATAAAGATTGTCACAGGAGTTTGGCATCTCATCATTCACCCAAAACATGGATACATTTTAATTATTAATTCATATTTGTGATGACTCTATACTCAAACTGTCATTTTTAGTCAATTACAGAAAAAGGCAGGGTTCATGAAATGAAATAAACCTGGACCTTTATGGGTTGTTTGAATGGTAAACCCCCCATAGCACAACACAACTTGGGGACAAATGGGTGAAAATACAACAATGTGTTGTGTGTAGGAGTGAATATTCTGCATTGTGTAACAAAACAGTATGAAGCCAGCTACTGCCACATCAAATTTCTCTCATATTGACTTGAGTTAAAACCATTTGTGTCTTTTAAAGTGAGTTAGCTGTGGCAGACGTCTTGAGTCAAGTTGACTCCAAAAGTTTTCACTTGTAAATGTACATTTAAAGATAATTTTCAGCAACTTTCATTGGAATTTGTTCAGTAGATCACAAGATATTTTGTTAACCTGAACACAGACAAAAGCTTTATTACACGCCTTCACCTTTTGCTGAATATATATATATATATATATATATATATATATATATATATATATATATATATGTGCATCACACAAGACAACATGTGCTTACAGATCATGTAGCTGCTTTTTAAAAAGAGTAACTTACAAGTCATTTGCTCCTCATGTTTAACCGTCTCCTGTGTTTCAGGTACTGGGCTGGGATTAGGGATCGTCTTTTCAGTCTTGTTCTTCAAACGTGAGTAATTTCATTGATTTGTTGTTCTGCGTCTTGAACCTTTCTTTTAGCGCAGATGTTTGGAAAAAGCTTAAAATCACTTCCTTACTCCTACTCTACATTAGTCATAAAGTTCATTAGCAGGAAATCAAGAAACAATGTGATAATGCAAGCAAAAAAACTGAAGGGAACAAATGTTTACATAAATGAACATCTAACTAAAAAAAATGGAAATATTGCACGTGAAGCAAGGTTGTTAAAAAAAACAGAAAAAAATAGCATCAACTTGGACAAGAAATGGAAACATCTGGATCAAACTACAGGAAGGATCTCAGGCTAAGATAATAAAAGACCTGAAAGATCTGGAAAAACTAAAATGAGCTCAGGAGATGACAGATAATAAATCATCGATATAACTTCACAAACAAGAAATTAACAAAATATAAAACAAACAAATACATTAAAACATGACAACATACGAAGATTTAGAGTTTAAAATATACAATGTTGAAGATGCGATTGATACAAATTTTTTCCCTGAAATAAAAGACTGTGAATATTACAATGAAGAACAGTTTAATGACATTAATATAACAAATGGAGGTCTCTCTATTATTCACTTTAACAGTAGAAGTTTAAATGCAAATATATCCAAAATAACAGATTATTTAAAACAGCTAAACAGAACCTTTACAATAATAGCTCTGTCGGAGACGTGGCTCAATGATGAAAACACAACTAATGTTCACATGGAAGGGTATGAATTATATCATGTGAACAGAAGCAACAAAAGAGGTGGTGGAGTGGCTCTATTTGTTAAAAATGAAATAAAATGTAAATTAATTAATGAAATGTCAATAATTGTTGATAACATCATGGAAATAATAACAATAGAAATAATAAACAAGAATGATAAAAACATATTGATAAGTTGTGTATATCGATCTCCAGGATCAAATATAGAAATATTCACCGATAAAATCGTACAATTATTGGACATGAGTTTTAATAAAAGCATTTTTTTCTGTGGAGATTTTAATATTGACCTGGGAAATAAAACAGATTCAAATAACATCAGTACATTTACAAATTCATTGTGTAGTTTAAATCTTTATCCGTTAATATCAAAACCAACAAGAATTACAACTCATAGTGCTACAATAATCGATAATATTTTCACAAATGTAACAAATGGGGATGTGATGGGAGGTATTTTAATGAGTGATTTGAGTGATCATTTACCAGTTTTCATGATTTATAAAAATGATCAAAGCATTACAAAAGAAATTACAATTAAGGAAAAAACAATAAACACATCAAAAAAAGCATTGGACAAATTAAAAGATGATTTACATAAACAAAGCTGGAAAGACGTGTATGTTGATGATGTGAACAGATCATATGATGAGTTTATGAATATTTTGGGAGCTCTGTATGAAAAGAATTGTGTGCAAAATAATTGTACAAAGAGAAATGTTGTTGACCAACCATGGATGACGAAAGGGTTGAGAAATGCTTGTAAAAAAAAAAGAATTATTTGTATACATGTTTCTTGAAATTGAGAACACAAGAGGCTGAAGAGAAATATAAGAAGTATAAAAATAAATTAGTAGCGATTATAAGGAAACACAAGAAGGAATATTATAGTGATTTATTAAATAAAAGCAATGGTGATATGAAAGCTACATGGCGAGTAATAAATAGTGTTCTGAAAAGTCATAAAGCAAAAACAGGTATTTCACAATATTTTTTGAAGGATGACGATGAAATCCATGATGAAAATGAAATTGTAAATGGATTCAATCATCATTTTGTGAACGTTGGATCAAGCCTTGCAGCTAAAATACCAAAAGTAGACAATAATGTGAAACATTCAGTTATAAGTTGTGACAACAGTATTTTTCTTAATGGAACTGACAAAGAAGAAATAATGAATGTTGTAAAAAATCTTACAGATAAGAGATCAAAAGACTGGGTGGACATGGATATGATGTTTGTAAAGGACATAATGAGTTATGTTATCGAGCCGTTTACATATATTTGTAATTTATCATTTTCAAAAGGAATATTTCCAGACAATATGAAAGTAGCAAAGGTAGTTCCTCTCTTTAAAAATGGTGATAAATGTGTGTTCAATAATTATAGACCAATATCCTTATTACCACAATTCTCAAAAATTCTAGAAAAACTGTTTGTGACCAGATTAGATAAATTTATTACTAAACAAAACATTCTAAGTAGCAGTCAGTATGGGTTTAGAGCAAAAAACTCTACATCAATGGCTCTCATGGAAATAATGGAACAAATAACTACTGCTGTCGATCAAAAACAGTATTGTGTTAGTATTTTTGTTGTTTTAAAAAAAGCATTCGATACTATTGATCACACTATTCTCCTTGAAAAATTAAATAAATATGGTATAAGAGGACAAGCATTACACTGGGTATCTAGCTATTTAAAAGATAGGAAGCAGTTTGTACAAATAAATGGTGTAAGATCTGACCTGTGCAATATCACTTGTGGAGTTCCTCAAGGCTCTGTACTTGGACCAAAGTTATTTATTTTATATGTGAATGACTTAGTGAATGTATCAGGACTCCTCAAATGTGTCCTTTTTGCAGATGACACCACATTTTTCTGTTTGGGTAAAGATGTAAAACGGATGTTGGAATTGATGAAGACAGAATTTGATAAAATACAAACTTGGTTTAAACTTAATAAATTATCATTAAATTTAGAAAAAACTAAATACATGATATTTAGCAACAAAAAGAGAACTGTTGATGATCCATTTAAAATTGAGGGTGTTGAGATTTGTAGAGTTAATGAGATGAAATTTTTGGGTGTAATCATTGATGAACAGCTAACATGGAAAAATCACATAAATTCTGTAAGAACAAAAATATCTAAATCTATTGCAGTACTATACAAAGTCAGGGAATTATTAAATGATAAAGCTCTGTACATGTTGTAAAACACAATCATTGTTCCACATTTAATCTATTGCATTGATGTTTGGGGGAAAGCGTGTAAAACATTTACAAAACCTATTTTTATTTTACAGAAAAGAGCTTTAAGAATTATCACCAGAAAGCATTACTGTCACCCATCAAGCACATTATTTTATCAACTGAAGTTATTGAAGTTCCATGATTTAGTAGATTACAGTATTTTATCAGTTATGTATAGGGCTCAAAATAACACATTACCGTTAAATATCCAAAGGAATTTTGTTAAAAGACAAAGTTGTTACAATCTTAAGGGGATAGAGATATTTGTCAAACCAAAATTCAGAACTAGTCTGAAGGGAAGGTCTACCTCAATCCAAGGAGTTGGATTGTGGAATGGTCTAGAGAGTGATGTGAAAAATGCCAAGTCAATGTGCACATTTAAGAAAAAAATCAAAACTGAATTGTTAAAAAAGTATATATGAAGTAGCTTAGTGTGTGTTTTGTATTAGAATTAGATAAATTAGAAAGTTATTCATTTTGTTCTGTTACTTGAAAACTATTATGTCTGAAATAATTGTTTGTAAAAAGGGGCAGATATAATAAGATTTTTTCTTCTTTCTGCTGCCTTTCATTTTAAATCTTTTGTATCTTTTTTTATATTGTTATGGAATTGTTTTGTACTTTTTTAAAATGAATAAACTATATACCATACCATACCATACCATACCATACTCTCCTATACAGAGACACGCAGCTGAACGTAACACAAGGGAATGATTTGTTCTCCATCACACACGTTTTTTTAAAGGAGTTTGTAATTTAGTATTTTATAACCTGTGTTTTTTGTTACTTACAAACCCCAGCATGGTTTAGACACAAGATGCTCACCTTATCATCTGGGCACATGTAAAGTATGTTTCTCATTTGTAGGGCGCACATGGCCGATTTCATTAGGCTCTGGAGTCGGGCTTGGCATGGCGTATGCCAACTGTCAGAGCGACTTGAGGTCACATTATCTGCTGCACAGGAGTGAAAAGGTTGGTCGGGTCAAAATTTGGCTCTTAATTTAAATCAGTTCTTACCCTAAATTACAGCTTTGTAGGAAACAGAACCTAAAACGACAAAAAATACTGTAGTTAAAATGATCACAACTGGTTTAGAGTTGAATTTATACAGATTTAACAATTTAATTATCATTTCATTCATCTAAAATCATAACGCTGTACAAATGCATTGTCTAAAGTTGGACTTAATCAACTTTTTTTTGTTGTTGTTTTTTCCTCTACAGGAACAGTAACTGCAATTCATCCAGTCATTTTAAAAGTTTTCATTTTGCAATGATTTTGTCTTCGGGAGTGTCATCATTTGCACTAGTCTACAGTTGGATTAATGTCTGTCGGTTGATTATCCATCCTCAATCTGTATGTGCCTAAATAAAACAGTCTGTGTTTATTTAATAAAATAATTATAACAATGTGAAAGAGTCATGGTGTGGTAACATGTTTTTATAATATATAATCATGTCTAGATTTTGGTCATGTTAAATTCATTTACAGAAGTAGTCTAAATACTGAATAATTATTCCCATTATATATGAGTGAGTAGATGTGCCCAGATGTTTGACTGAAGCGTAAAACGTCATTTTAACTAGAAGAATTGTGATTTCTGTGAAAAAGTATCCTGAATGCAGCACGCTGAATGACTTGCTAAATAATTGAAACTGAGTTGGTAAACTTAAAACAAGTAGAACAGAAGCTAAAGGGAGACAAGCGATCTGCCAATGTCTCCCATCATTAAGGGGTTTGATATGAGTGTTTCTCTGGACTGGAACTGAACGGTGAATGGGAGTAAGCCTAAATGTTTTGGTGCAAGATATTCAGTTAGGAGTTATACTGTGTAGCTTTTATTTTTTATTCTATTTTTTTTTTCTAAGCTAACAGGCCAACCTCGGGGAAAAAACCATCAAAGCTCCAAAATTCACAGTTGAAACCCGTGCCTTCGTGTAAAACGTTGTTTTTTCTTTGCAAAAAGAAGCTGAGAACTTGTTTACAGATTTTTTTTATTAAAAGCTTTGTGTGAAAAATGCTATGTGAAAGCGTTCAAACCACACTGAGTGTCCGCCATTTTGAGAAGCAAAAAACAGGAGAGAGAGACAGCCATGTCACGTCAAGGGGCCTCCCTCCCATTTTTCTTAAAGAGACACGCTGCTGCTCCCTCACTATCCATCCTTCGGTTCAAACAGTCTTATACTGCCATCCAGTGGTCAAAAAGGTACTACATGTAAAAATTAACCATCATCTTAAATTTGACCATTTCAAACAATATTATCGTTTATCGCAATCATTTCTGAGATAATTAATCGCCCAGCAAAATTAGTTATCGTGACAGGCCTAATCCACACACCAACATGGAAGTTGGTACCTCACTTATTTTTCAACTGGTGCTCACAACATGCACGGATGGACGGACTGACAGAGGGTATTTCCAATTCCTCCTCTTCGCCCTGAGACCTTGGACAAAAACAAAAGCTATGAAAGGTGTAGCAGAGGCTAAAAGGAGCCACTGTAATTAACAACTAAATGAAGCTGAATGGTAAATAAAAGAAGCAAAATGAGCTGAAACAGATGGAATAGAAAAGAATTTTAAAAGCTAAATAAAGCAGTATAATAGTTATAAAGCTCAAAGAAGCAAAGCCGTAGCTAAAAGGAGCAGAGTGGTACGTAAAAATTAAAAGTAAGTAAGAATTAAATCTAAACGGGTAAACAACGCTGAGTCAGCATTCACTCACACATCAATAACTGAATGAAAAACACTGTCCAGGGCGGACAAAGAACGAAGCAGGTAAATGGTTTCATAGATGTGAATGTGAGCTGAAGTGGGTTTTCTCCGGCTGCTCCAGTTCTTTCCCACAGACCAAAAACATTCATCCATGGATGCTGCATTAATGAACTCTAGGTGTGGGTGAGAGTGTGAACGGTTGTGTCTCTGTCCCTGTGATGCACTGGAGACCTGTCCAGGGTGTCCCGTCCCCCCACCTCTTGCACAGCGATTGCTGGAAAACCAGCTGTCCCACGACCTGGAAAGAAGAAGTGGTTAAAGAAAATGGACGAAAGGACGTGAGCTGATTTTCTCCAAGTTGCTTGATGGGAATGTGGGTTCACTGGTGCAGTTGCTAACCATGAGGTGGTGGGCTTCATGTTGGGGTCAGGAGCTCGGCGGCAGCAGATGAAATGGGGGCAGTAAATGTGACGATCAGAAGTGAGGACTTGGCATGCTGGTTGGTGTCAACTATCGAAATGTTGCAGTAAATAAGACTTCATCATTTTAGACTTGAGCTTTTTCAGGGAATTAAAATAACATTGACATGCAGCCTTGATACTTTAAAAACCGCTGAACAAAGAAATGTGAGCACTACTGCACGAGAAAAAGGTTTGGGCTAACATTTACAATTACACAAATATATTTGTCTCACTTCATTTACTGTACATGCAAATATTAGTATACAAAAGCTGGCTTAGTAATGAAGAATTCACAGCCTTCGAGAAGTTTAACCGTCATAAATCATTGCACATTAGGCAGTTTTCATATCTGCCTTTTACAAAAACGTATCATGTCCAGTGCAGCAAACTAACAAGCAGTGAAAACATGCAATTTTGATATTTTTTATAGGTTTGCTGAATTGTGCTTGTACAAGAAGATGAAGATAAAGGTGCAATCACAATTACTTGAAAAAAATTACGATTGAACAATTGCTTGTTAATTGTGGCAGACAGCCGCATTAAGAAATATTTATCTACATGCTTACCCAACATATTCAGGGTTTATTGTTTTAGATAAGAAGTAGGGTTTCTTTAAACTGATGAGAGGCAAAAATGATCATAAATGTATGTAAGTAAATACATCACAGTTGCATCAAGGCCTTTGTTAAAAGTCGCAGAATGTTTATAAAAAAAAAGGTGCACATTAAAAAAGGCCTGTTTTGGTCTGCTGGAGGCATATCTGTGGGAAAAAACACTCATCAGGAGAACACGGAAACTACGTGCCTCTGTGCCGATTACTGCAAAGATGCTCCAAAATTAGTTTGTGATCGTTATTAAAAAAAATGTCATTTTGGTAGGAATGCAACCAAAACTGTCAAAAAAATGTTCCAATACAGAATATAATATACTTTGAAATTACAGAAAATGTTGCAGGAATGAGATGCAAAACAGGATTTGCAATGAAATACAGTTGCATTTATCAAAAACTAGAACAAATAAAATAAATGTAAAAGTAATTATAAATTAAAGTGTAAAAGTCACTTTTATTTGAGGATTCTACATCATAATTTGTGCGCACTCACAAAAGTCACAATGTCAGAGAAAATCTGTTGCAACAGAGAGGACATCAGATTTTCACAATTCATAATAAAACAGTAACAGTCATAGAAAATAGAAACAACCAAACAAGGAGAAAGACCTCCCACACAGTTCCTATGATGCAGAATTAGCATATCTTGGCTGTGATTTTGCATGGTTATGCATTATTAGCTCCATGCTTTGACGCGCTCTTTCTCAGTAGCTGTGCGCTCCGGCTGGGAGACGCGCTGGAGTGGCCGCCACAGGGATTAACAGCAGCGAGAGATGTGGCATCACAAGGACCATGATACCTGTAGAGCACTTTTGAGCAGAGCTCTGTTGCAGACGGGGGTTTTAAGTTGTTTTTTTGCTCCTCTTCACCAAATCCCAGAATAAAAAGGACTTGTGCATAAGAGAAGAGCTCCTGCTCAGCAAAGGACTTGCAAAAGCTGGTGAGATCCACTCATGAGGTTTGTTTCTGAGAATTTCTTGTCGTCCTCAGTGGGTCATCTCACTGGCACAGCTCGTGTCTGTGGAGTAAAGGCTGGTTCTTTCCAAGCCCTCCTCCAGCGCTCGTTGTGGCAGGCTGCTGTCGAATGGCTCATTCTGGGCTCTTAGCTGTGTTGGAGGCAGAGACACGCCGGCCAGAGAAGAGAGATGAGAGGAAACAGTTTCGGTGATCTGGACCACCATCAGTGGAACTGGAAGTGAGCTCGCCCTGCTTGAAGGGGTTCCTGCCAATATGGAGATATTTATCCTTGGAGAAAGATGGAGTTGGTTGGATGTGAACCTCATCAGTGTTTTTATTTTATTTTTATCCGACTGCATCTTTTAAGTGTGAGTTTTGGCAGGATACAAGAACCATTTTGAAGCACTGATTTGAAGTGATTCATTGATCACTGCCAGCCGCCACCATGACTGACTCTCACTTGTCTAGCTCCGTGGGAAGCTACAACAGCAGCTCTCCCACCACCAGTGACTGGAACATCACCGGCAGCGGCCCGTGGTTGTTGGCATTCATGCTGACCGTCATCATCCTTGTGACGATCTGTGGCAACGTGTTGGTCATCGCTTTGGTGTTTGCACATCGCTCTTTGCGTTGCACCTCAAACTGCTTCCTGGTCTCGTTGTTCTTCTCCGACCTAATGGTGGCGTTGGTGGTCATGCCCCCAGCCATGCTCAACGTGCTGTGTGGGGCCTGGGTGCTGTGGCCTGCTTTTTGTCCGGTTTGGCTTTGCTTCGATGTCATGTGCTGCAGCGCATCCATCCTGAATCTGTGTGTGATCAGCCTGGACCGTTACCTCTTCATCATCTCACCGCTGCGCTACAAGCAGAGGATGACCCCACCTCGGGCTTTACTTTTGGTAGGAGCTGCTTGGGGTTTGGCTGTATTAGCCTCCTTCCTGCCCATTGAGATGGAATGGCACATTTTAGGCCACAGAAAGGAATATTTACCATTTCGAGAAGCCAGCATCCGTAGCAACAGCTCCATCTCTGACAAACTGTATCCAGAGTCCTACTTTCAGCTGTCACCATCAGGAGGTGTGTCCTTTCAGTGCCGCCTGCAGGTCACCCTGCCCTTTGCTCTGGTGGCGTCAGTGCTTACCTTCTTTTTGCCATCCAGCGCCATTTGCTTCACCTACTGTCGGATCCTTCTGGCCGCACGGCGACAGGCAAAGAGAGTTGCAGCACTGAGCCACCCTCCTCACCCACATCCCTCCCTTGGAGAGCCTTCCCGGCCTCCTTCACCTGGGATCGCAGGAAGGCAAGCTCAACAGGATGGATATGATTCCAGTCATCAAGGGCCTCTTCTTATGTTACAAAATGTACCGGTAAGAAAGATCCACGCTAAGATTGAGTCTAACACAGAGCAAAGTTTTAATAATATACACAGGAACATTTCTTATAAGCCTTTTGAAATTCAGCAGAGACGCATGTGGCAGAAGCAAGTTAATCTGAAAGTAGAAGTTAAACCCGTGAGAACAAAAAAGCTTTCTATCTGAAGCATGCCTTTTCCTTGACATTTTTAAGACATAATATAATGTGTTTATTTTAATTGGGTGCTGTTTGTAATGTTACACAGTCAAAAATTAGCAATACTTTTGGTTTATTTAGCCTTTAATAAGAAAAAAAAGTTATTTTTCAAAGTCATATTTTCACCATGTTATTCATACATTTACAAATGTCATAGTTCCAAACTAAATATTTAATTTACAATCTAAATATTTAGCTTATAAACTAAATACTTAACTTGCAAGTTGAATATTTAGTTAGTAAACTAAATATTTAGATGTAAATTAAATATTTAATTTCCAAGCTAAATATTTATTTTCAAAACTAAACATGTAATTTCCAAACTAAATATTTACTGTCCAAGCTAAATATTTAATTTTCAAACTAAACATTTAATTTCTAAGCTAAACATTTAATTTTTAAAATAAATATTAAATTTGCTAACTAAATATTTAATTTACAAGCTAAATATTTAGTTTACAAACTAAATACTTAACTGAGAGACACCCTGCTGACTTAACTTGCAATTTAAATATTGAGTTAGTAAACTAAATTTTTAGGTGTAAACTAAATATTTAATTTCCAAGCTAAATATTTATTTCCAAAACTAAACATGTAATTTCCAAACTAAATATTTACTGTCCAAGCTAAATATTTAATTTTCAAACTAAACATTTAATTTCTAAGCTAAACATTTAAAACTAAAATAAATATTTAATTTGCTAACTAAATATTTAATTTACAAGCTTGCAAGTTAAATATTTAGTTTGTAAACACAATATTTAGCTTGTAAATTAAATATTTAGTTGGGAACTATGATATTTATAAATGTATAAATAAGATGGTGAAAATATGACTTTGAAAAACAACAACTTGTTTTTCTTATGAAAGGCTAAATAAACCAAATTATTGCTGTTAATTTTTGATTGTGTAACTTTACAAACAGCACCCCATAGTTTTTACACATCTTGCTTATGTCTTATTACATTTTATAAAATAGATATAAAAAAAATTAGATACTTCAAATAAGTTGTTTTCTTTTGAACCACGCAAGCACAAAAATAAAATCTTGAAAAAAAGCTTTTTTTTTAAAAACAACTCTAAGTTTTTAAAAATAAAAACGTCTTCATCCTCACCTGAACAACTATTAATTAATAAGAAACTCTAATTACGTCACCAAGACCTTGTGCTGCTGTAAAACGCTGCTATTTAAATGTATCAAATGTCATTGACAAATAACCCCGATAGAAATAGCTGCAACACAAATGTGAGCTCAGTATTTGAGTGGTTTTCTGCAATGATGAGTTGTGATAAAATACATATTTCTATTAATTAGGTTAAAAATGATTAGAATCAGCCTGAAAGGATCCAGTTTAGTTTAGCTAGGTCACCAGAAAAGATTGCAGGAGAATATAAAACATGTCATCTATCTGGTAGGATCACTGTCACACAGTTTACATACTGTGTGTGACAGTGATCCTACCAGATAGATTCATGCATAATGTGTTAATGCATAAAATAAATATGAAATTTACCACATTTAATGTTTTTAACATGATCAGAATATTTTATGGCAAGCTTTCACATGCATGCATATATAATATATATATAATGTTTCATTCAAAATTTTGAATTATTATTGTTTTAATGAACTATTATATAATGAACTATGGCGCCCATAGAAATTTTATTGTAAGTCTTAACAAGCTTAATCAAAATATGACTTGCACCTAAATAAAACATTTTTGAAGTTCTTAAAATTTGTAAAGGATAACTAAAACTATTTTATGATAAGTTTTGTGTTACATAAGCAAACTAGACACTACAAGCCAGTGTATCTTTCATGCCAACCCTAAGCCTGGGTAAATGGTGAGAGTTGTGTAAGGAAGGACATCTGATGTAAAACTCTTGCCAAAACAAACATTGTTTAGGTGACACCACAACAGATTGGTTGTGGCACAAGTTGTGCTACTGTTCGTTGAAGACCATGAAGAGAAAACATGTCAGAAGATAGAGGGTAAAGAGGAAAGTCAAGAGTGTAGGATTCTAAACGTAGGGACAATGGCAGGCAAAGGTACAGAGCTGGCTGACATTATGCAGAGAAGGAAGGTAGATGTATTATGTGTGCAAGAGACCAAGTGGAAGGGCAGCAAGGCTCACAGCATTGGAGCAGGGTTTACCGTGGTGTGGATAGGAAGAGAAATGGAGGTTGTCTTGAAGGAGGAGTTTGCAAGGAATATCATAGAGGGGAAAAAGTTAGTCAAGTAGGGTGATGTGTCTGAAGGTAGAAGTAGAAGGTCTGATGCTGAATGTTGACAGTGGTTATGCTCCACAGATTGGATGTGTTGTAGAAGAGAAAAAGAAATTCTGGAAAGATCTAAATGAAGTGATGGAGAGGGATCAGACACCATCAGATGGCGATGTGTGGGACTCAAAAAAAGTAGCCCAAAGAAGAAGGTGTTACATAAACAGCTAGCTTAGCTTAGCTTAAAGATCCAAAGCCGGGTATTGAAGGCAAAACCTTGTCCCACATAAACCTAATTTACACCTATCAAAACCAATATACACTTTAAAGTATATATTTAATTTCTGATTAGTTAAAAATCTCAAGTTTTTTCCCTGTTAGCTAAAACTAGCTGACTGCTAGCACTAGCGTTATATTTAGCCCACAGTTCTCCTCATCTAATGCTCAGTAAAAAAATAAAAATAAAAAAAAGTTAGCATTTCACAAAGCTTACCAAAATACATGAATTTGAATTGATTTTTTTTATAGCTACTAAGGAGTTGAAAATAATTATAACAAGTCAAAATTAAACATTTAATGTAATTTTCTCTTCAATTAAAGCAAATACAGAAATAAATACCACTCTGGTTAAAGGAGATGCTGATCGTCTTGGACTAACTTATTTTTTCCCCACTGTTTGTAGCCGTCTGTGAACAGCGAGCGACGTCTAGCTCACAGACAGGGTCGGAGGGCACTGAAGGCCAGTCTCACACTGGGAGTCCTTCTGGGGCTTTTCTTCAGCGCTTGGTTGCCCTTTTTTATCACCAACATGGCTCAGGTCAGTAGATGTGCCTGGCATTTAACTGGCACACTTTTGTGGTCTGTGTACTAGAAAAATAATAAGCAAATCTTGATTTTTTTTTAATGACTAATAAATAATACATGCATTCGCAGCAGGTTTTTGCCCTATCTTTTTAAACGTATTTAGAATGGCTCCAATGATTCATGTCATGAATTTATTTCTGTGGCAGCCATAAACACCATTAAAAACCAAATATTATAAAGGTTAAGAAGAAACCCTTGGATACCAATCTATTTTCGTATTGGCCAGCCTTGGCGTCACAGCTTTGCCAAACCAACAGGGAACTAGATTGTCGTTGAAGCTCTCATGTGTCTGACTCATTCCAAAGCCTAGCAAACAGCCCACAAAACGACTGTTTACAATTGGCATATTATTGATTTAATTGGACTGAGTATACATACTCATTACTCAGCCAAGACACTTGAAGTGCCATGAAAAGCCTCTGCCAGACTAAATGGTTGTAAAAAATAAACAGCTTAATTTAAATCTAACACTTGTCCTGCTTTTCAAGCTTTGGATGATTCAGTCATTTTGATTTCCCATCTGTGCCCTCTTGCTTTTCTTCTACATAACTGGAGTGCAGAGGCTTGGCTGTCTTCGTGCATTCTTCTCACGCTCAATGTGGTGTGTGAACACCCCCCCCCCCATTCTGTCCCATTCCCACCGCCCCCATGTCTCATCTTGATAGTATTGGAAGCTCTACTCTAACAGCTGCCTCCTATCTTCACTGCCGCTCTTTAAGCCTTAAGGATACGCTGAAGATCCATGTTCCTAACAATGAAACACGCTTCCCTTAAATCGTTGTACAATACATATAACCGTCAAAATATTAAAGGAATCAGTTTTTTTGAGGAACAAGTCCAGTTAGAACTGAATGGTTGTGAAAATGCCAAGTGATTGTGCTTGATTGTGTATCAGTCATACACAGTAAATAATATACAGCCAGTGTTTCCACCTTCTCTTAGCTTAGTTTTATTATTACTGTACTTGCCGCCGTACACATCGCACCGCCGTATAAGTCGCATCTGTCCAAATACGTCTAATAAAATGGAAAAAATATAAATATGTCGCTTCGCCGGATGAGTCGCATCTATTATGAGTCACCACTGACCTCCCGGAAACGTGGTCCGGTGTACCAAAAATCAATTGGCTGCCAAATGGCGGTTACGGGAACGTGCACGGAAGGACTTTAACAAGAATTTTACAAGATAGTCACTTAAAAACAATTATTTGTTTGCTCGACATTATAGTAAAGGTGTGTCTCAGTTGAACTGTTCCTTAATAAATGGACTTTAATGGTTAAATCAGCTGCATTTCGCCGGGGCGGCGCGGTGAAATGCAGCTGATTTGACGTTTGCTCCAGGAGTTGCGGAGCAAGACGAAGGTGGCTCTCTATGGAAAGCCAAGTGTCTCATTAATAGCCACTTTTACCTATTAATGAGACACTTGGCTTGCCGTATTGCTCGTGGGCCCTCTATTGGCTGAAAATGGTAGCGTTCAGTATTTTCCATGTCAAAATTAGAGCTGTCATTTCTAACCTGAACCGGAGCCCGGCCCCACCTGACCCGGATTTGGACCGGGTCATAATAATGTGCTTAATGTATGGGCCGGGACGGTGTCCGACTTTTTATTGCGTTAGGAACACGTGCGACCGACGATCCAATATATGCAAACATGGCTTGCCACATTGCACCTGTTGCACGTGGCCATTTGACCACCTGGTTGAAAGAGGTAAAAAGTTCAGTTAAGCTTCAGATGGACTACTGCCAGCAATCCATCAGCCTAAATAGACGTTCATTCAGCCGCTGCGCTCAGCAGACGCACACAGCCGAGACCCAAACAGGTGAGATCACAAAATATCTGACATTTCAGAGCAGGGTCCAATGCAGGCAGAAGCAGGGGAAGCATTTAATGCACTGACGGCTCTTTAGCTCTGATCTTCTGCCTCCTCAGCTGCACGCATCCGCCAACCGTTAATAACAGTCAAGCAGTTAAAGCTTAATTGATTTTTTTTTTTCAGAGTTTGGACCTGTAATTACTGTTAATTACAGATCGGATCGGGTGTGGTTCGGAGATGAAGGCTATGGGATCGGGTCGGTTAGAATTATTTGGACCTGAGTGTAACTCTAGTCAGAATGAATGAAATTGTCAGATCTCAGCCAAAAATTGAGTTATAAATATGATGGAAAAAAAACGTATATTAGTCGTTTTGGTGTATAAGTTGCAGGACCTGCAAATTTATGCGAAAAGGTGCGACTTATACTGCAAAAAATACGGTAGCTAAAATATTCCAAGCTTTGACTTCAGCGTTTATTTGTAGTTTTGTTGTTTGTAGTTTGCTTAATGTTTGAAATTAGGTGTAATAAAGCTCAAAATAACGCAGCCAACTTGTTCATTGGCATCTAGAACAAATAAGAAACCATATATCATGACTCTTTCCCTGTTATAAAGTTTGAATCCTTTACTGCTTGCAATGTTTTCCACCATTTCCATTCAGGCAGTGTGCAACTGTGTCCCCCTTGAGCTCTTTGACGCCATCACTTGGCTGGGTTACTGCAACAGCACGATGAACCCCATCATCTACCCACTGTTCATGAGGGACTTCAAGCGAGCTCTGGCAAAGCTCCTGCCCTGCTGTGCCTCACGGTCACCAAGAAGACCATCACCAGCGCTCTCCATCTCCCTGAGAAACTCAGGAGAGCCCAACATCGCCAGCAGCCCGCCCTCACCTCTGGCCTCTGACCCCACGCACCCCCCTGCCACTGCCACAGATGCCGTCAACCTGCTGGATGCTGAGCATGCTGGGATTGAGTTGCCTCTGCTCCTTCCCAATCAGGTTGACACTTTGGACTGAATAATTATGGAGGTAAAACCAGCTTTAAAGTTACATCACGGTTTAATATGGTGAGAGAATGGTTCGTTGGCACTGCTGTTACTCTTAATTAATCCTAATCTGTTCAATCTGAGGAAAAAAAGAGACTGAGCAAAAGTTCAAGATATAAATAATGTATGAAAGCAGCTCAACAAAATCTACACGATTTTCCTTTATCTGTGTTTCGTCAAGAAAATATACAATCTGCTGCAAAAGTTGGGACAATGTGTAAAATATGAACCAAAACAGAATGCAATGATTCATAAACTCACATTTTCTTTATGAAGGAACATAGTCAACATATCAGATGTAAAGAAATTGTACAATAAAAAAATGTAATGTTTAATTTTATGGCAGCAAAACATTTAAAAAATATTTTAGACAGAAGCAACAATAAAAAGCTGGGGGAGCATTTTGTATCTAATTAGAGTAATTTTCAACTGGTCAGTAGGAGGAGTGGGCACAATAAGAGCCTTTAAGACAGACTGATTCTCTCTGAAGTAAAGATGGGCCGTGGTTTGCCAGTCAGGGGGCCAAACAGGTCTGATTCTGTTCTGGACATCACTGCATGAACTCAGAAACACTTCCACAAATCACTGCCTGTAAACACTCTTCACTGTGTCATCCAAAAATGATAGATAAAGCTCTATCATGCAAAGAAGAAGCCAAATGTGAAAAGCATCTAGAACTGCCACTGTATTTTTGAGCCAGAGCTCATTTAAAATGAACTGAGGCAAAGTGGATAACTGTTGTGTAGTTAGACAAATCAAACATTGAAAATATTTTTGGAAACTATACACACCATGCCCTTTGTACTAAAGAGGACCATTCAGCCTGTTATCAGCGCACAGTCCAAAAGCTTGCCTTACTGATGGTATAGGGTGGCATTAGTGCATTTGGCATGGGCAGATTGCATATCTGGAAAAGCTCTATCCATCCATTCATCTATCCATTATCTTTACCCGCTTCTTCCTTTCCAGTGACTGCTGGATATGGGCACCAGTGACCCCCGCGACCCGGAAAGGAAGAGGCAGGTTGGATGGAAAGGTACTATCATAATAGAAAAATATACACTGGTTTTAGAACATAAGCTACCATCCAGACAATGTCATTTTCAGGGAAGGTCTAGTAGGGGTGTCAAACTCAGTTACCAAAAGGAGCCAAAATTTAAAAACTTTGTCCCGAGCTACAGGCCTCTTTCAGCCAAGACATTAACTCTAGTCAGATACCAGATATCTTTTCTTGGTTGCAGATTCGTCAACAAGAGTTTGATCTGTCTCACTTGACGTTCTGTTACTCTTTCCACATCAGAATCAGTAATGACAGAACGATACAACCTTCTTTCTGGAGTTAGCAAGCTGACAGGAAATACCAGGGCTACTCAATTAGCGGCCCGCGGGCCATTTGACTTCAATCTGGCCCACTTCATACAAAAAATAAAAATAAATTACAGTGTATATTTTTTTTAGGGTTCTGGGTTTGGGTTCTATTTATTGCATTTATTATGCAATGCAATCAAATATTTTTTTTTAAAAGGCAACAGATCATTGTAATACTTGGGTTATTATAATAATAATAATAATGACTTTAATCATTAGATGTCCAGCCCTTGAGCTGCTAGCTTTCAGTAACTGTGGCCCCCTGAGTAGTTTACTTGAATAGCCCTGGTCTCTACTAAATTATGTATTTATCAGTTTTTTTTTAAAGAAAAAATTAGAAGAGATACAATATTTTAAATTTAAATTATCATGTCGGGGGACCAGATACAGCATCCATGATAACAATACAGTTTTGTTGTAGAAGAGTTGAGGTGCACAGTGGAAAATACGGACCTGTTCCTTTGTTTTTGAGAATTTTGTTGTTTCCAACAAAAGTCAGAATTAATCTATTTTATCTATAAAAAAAAACAACGTTTTAGTGTTGATGTGCCCATGTTCCATTGTGAATAAAATACAGTTTATGAAATTTGCACTTAATAAAATTGTGTTTAAATTTACATTTTACAAAACATCACATTTTTTTCCAGAACTGGGGTCATAAACAAAATCACTTCAGATTAATGTAGAAACAAATACACTTTCCAGTCGTCAGTGCTACTATTCTGCATCCACTGTTTCACATTTCTTCGTGTAGAAATAAGAGGAGCGATAAACAGGCCACATAAACAACACATTTGCTCAACTGCCCCCAGCCATATGGAAATCAAATTGTTGTGATCGTATCCATGGCAACCAAGCTAACAGACAAAAACGAGCTGGATGAAAGAAAGGGATCGAGTTGTCACCGTTTTTTTTTTTTTTTTTTATAATTTCCATTATTAGCCTTCAAGCCACACACAAAAAAAAGCAGAGGTTTTTGACGTCATGGCATGTTTAGTTTGAAAACGATAACGGTATTTACATAATTCTAAATTATTAATAAATAAAGTATTTCACAAGCTTTTTTTTTCTTCTAAAAGCTGCCACATGTGAGCACCAACTCTTGTGTGGAGGACGGATTTAATGCTCGTCTTCAAGCGATGCTTCTCGGCTGCAGAAAACAACTTTGAGAAGACGAGCGCTCACAACGAAGCAGCTGGTTCTTGAGCACGCTCTTTAGGAGTTGGGCTAATTTTGTTGGTGCAGGTGCTCTTCGGTCCAGTTCGTATCACTCCAGCTCCAAGAAACGTGCTCGTTATCCAGGTCCTGCCCGCTGCCATGCCGCGTTTTAAACTCTGAGGATGTGTTATCAGTGGCGTCCTCCTCACCGGTAAGAGACGCACTGTTAGTGATCGGTTCTGTCTCGTCTAATGAGTCCAGCAGATCCGATATATCAGGGATATCCCAACCATCACCTGCGTCCTCTGTCTTGGACACCACCGTCCTAACCTCCTCTGTAGACGTGTTGACCGTATGGGTTTGTGTCCCGTGCACATGCTGGTTGCTTTGGACGGGATGGGCCACAGTTCCCTCTGTAATCTTTACAGACTTGGGCAGGACAAAGGATGCTCCTGGGACTTCTTTGGTGGGGACTCCTACTGCCACCAGGATGGTGTCCATCTGACGCATGTAGTCCAAGTGACCTTTCACCTGGGGACCGGGAACAAAAACTGTCATTCGTGGTTGTGAAATGATTTGCAACTTGTTGTAAGCTGAGATGTGAATACTGTATATTTTTTCTTCTTCAAGTTTTAAATTTTGTAAAAAAAAAAGTACAATTTTTTTGTTATTTAACTGTTTATAATTTAACAAATATTTTATACTCTCCACGTTATGTTCGTTTAACACCAGCAGCTTGTGTGTATTTGTCATTTTCATTTTACATACAACACCTTGGTTAATAAATATTCTTAGTTAAGTATTATTATTGACAGTGTGTGTTTATTAGCATCATTTGGTAGTAGCAGAAAGTCCTTCCCAACACGTACTCTGAGCACTAACTGACTGATTAAGACCTGCTTTAACAACTTTGATTTTAACTATTGGAGTCAACTGTGCCTGTCCATTAGCATATTAGGAACCACTACGTGGATTTTATTTAAACTCTGAGAAACTCATTATCACTTGGAGTCAACTTGATTCAAGATGGCTGACACAGCTAATTTCCCTTAGCCATTAGCAAACACAAAAATGGCTACAACTTAGTCATTTTTACAGATACTGAGGTATCTTATCACCAGCAAACTTGTTTGTTCCACTATGGGAGTAAGATGCTTGTGAGACTCAATTTGTTGGTGGCTCCTCAGATTGAAGAAGTCCTTTGGATGAAGGACGAAACGTCTCAGCAAAAAAAGAAACCGTCCGGACGACCTGACTGAACATTGTTGGGTTTTTACCTGGATTATTGAGCATGGACTTTGGTATACTGAGGTAAAGCTTTGGTGTGGTAGAGACCGAAACTCCTACTCAACTTACACAAGGTGAGGTCAGTGAACAAGGATAGGCTGATTCTGGCAGATCCTGATCATCCACTCTATGGTGAGTTCAGGTTGCTTCCATCTGGACGCAGCTGCCCAGATGTAGGACGAACAGACTGAAAAACTCACTCATCCCTGTAGAGATCAGGCTTCTCAACGAACACTGATGATTTCTGTTATTTTAATGTCTCACTGTCTTTAGTGTGGATGTTTTTTGTGCCTACTGACTGCAAAACAAGGGATAATAAAGACTCTTGAACTTGAACATAACGTCTGAGCGCTAACAGATCTCACTAAGCTCATTTATAAGGTTTGACAACATCATCTCCAACTCAGTTTTTTCCTCATCATAAGATGATCTCAGCTTAAAACTTGGCATAAAAGGGGTGATATGCATGTCTTTAAGCAATGCTAGGCCTTTAAAAACTAAGTATTTGGTGTAATGTGTGTTTATCGTGATTTAATAAAACCAAACAGACTTGGTCTTTTACTAACACCTGTCACAAGATAAAAGACTCAAACTTAACAGCTAATGTTGCTGAATATGTAGCTGCACATTAAAACTACTGTGAGAGATTAATTCCTGCTACTATAAGATGATTAATAAATAGCCTTATACATCAAGTTTAAATCTGTCTACATATGACCAGGTATATTTTGTATGGTGCTTCAGTAATGCTTCGAAAAAATATGAATTTTTTTAGTTTTTTCAGGTTTGATAAAATAATTAAAATGCCAATTTATTTAATTTATTTTAGCTGTGAACATGGGTTTAACATTGTGATGTGAATATGAGACAAGAAACCAGCACTCCAGGTTTTCTTTTAAATTATTATTATTTCCAAGCATTTTCATCTAGATCATTAGAAGATAGCGATGTTTATAACAAAACAGAGATTTTTAGGTGAGAAAACGTGTAGGATCAGGCAGGCTTAAATAGAATAAAGTGATTAATGTTTATTCTTTGGCTGCAAATTCTTCACCTTTTATGATGATTTGTTCAAGTTTTCACTGCAGCCTCTTATAGATCTGATTTTCTTATTTTTTGTGATGAACTAATTATTTATTCTGAGGTGTGTTTTGGGTCTGTAACAAAAACGCCTGTAAAAATTATATTTTAATTTAGCTCGCATGGGGAACAATGTGGTTTAATGGAAAAGTTGCCTACTTTTTTTAAATTTTACACAACTAAATGTGAATACAGCTGAAATCCTGATCTCTGGCCTTGAAGTCAACCCAAACATTTTCAGTTTACAGCAATAACAAAGAAATTTATCTTGATGTTCCAATAGTTTTACAGGGAGTTTTATGTTTCATGTAGACATGTTGGTTTAAAGAAAGGCAGAAAGGCATGACTGTGATTATGACATAAACACAGTTGTCTCTTTTAAAGTTCAAAAGCAATCACCGATGAAACCAAAACGTTTTATTCAGTTACAGATTGATCAGCTTGAAAACAGCTTTTGTCCTCAAGAGTTAATGGAGACGAGAAATAAACTGCAAATAAATAAAGATTAAAAGGGCAGCATTTCACCTGACGCATTTCATGCCAAATATGTTCAACCAAAACTACTAGTATGTTATATTGAAAAGATAAAAACTTTATTGATCCTGCAGGAAATTGTTGAGAAGGTATGGAGTTATAGCAGTTTTGGTCAGAATTAGAAAATAACGTTATGCAGATGTGTTAGCGCTCAGACTGAGTTATGAGATACTGTCAGCTACTACCACACCACGGTAGAGTTGGAGCGATTTCTGTGCTTGCTAAAGCTGACAACCTATGCCGGCCATCTTATTATCTGAACTCAAATTTAAGTTGACTCACCACCGAAGAAAGATCCACATTGATTATGCGCCGGTCCTGAATGTTGATTGGCTGCAGCCCAGCGACAGACAGCTGTGCAGCCGAGCTGCGGTACAAGTAGCCCAGCAGCCAGTCCCCTCTGACAGATATACAAAATGTCATTTTTACGTACCATACACTGCCATATGGCTTCATGATTTAACAATCGTTATTAAATAAAAATAAAATATACATATTTACTGTAAACGTCTAACCATTAAACAAGAGACTTTTCCTTTACCTGCAGTAACCATTCACTATCTTTCCAGCAACCACCTTCGCCATTTTGTTCCAGGACTTCTCTGAGCCGTCTACTGGAGCTCCCAGGAGAACCACGTCCTCCACTACACCTTCACTACCTAAGAATAAAAGAAAAGAGATCAATCAGTTCAAAAAGGCGCTATCAATAATCCATCATCGAATATGTGAATTCCTGTCTGCTTCACTAATTTCAGCAGGATTTTGAAAGTCAAGTCATGAAGTCAGAAAAGTTTTGGTCAGGACCTTTATCACTGGCGAGCTCCTGCAGGCAGTAGTAGATAACTCGAGCTCCAAGACTAAAACCGATGAGGCTGACGGGCCGCTTCCCCTTCGAAAACAAAAAGCACATTGTTATCTCTGCACCATTTTAAAATTATATTTATTTTAGATACATTTCTTTATTTTCAAGTGCAGTTCCACCGTTTCAAAGACGCGTAAAAAGATTTAACAACAGAAACAGCTAAAGTTTACACGTCAAAGAGATGGAAAATGAAACAATAGCAAGAATTAACACCTACAAATAAAGAATCCTATTCCACTGGCTCGACGCAGGCCTACTCATCAAAATTCACCATTTTTAAAATCTTGCAACCACATCATAAATTTTTTATTAACTTTTTCAAATTTTTGCATACAAAATATCCAATAAAACGGCAACGCTAAAATCACCACCGTGGTACGATGATGAGGATGATTAACTTTCGGACGACGGCTTTAGAGGAAGCTAAGGTGGCTTCAGCTATGCCATGGCATTTTTGGAACCTGGCAGAGGATGGTGAAGGATGGTGACAGTTTTGTGACTTTTTTTCACCTATTTATCTGTTCGTGGTAAGTTTGGGCGGCCACACGATGACAACTCGCCCACATTGAGCTCAGTCTGAAAAACTACTGAGACCGTGTACAACCGAGCCTGGTCGAATTAGGGCGAAGCAAGTCGCGCTGAGATTGTATGATGGAAAAATGGCTAAATAAAATATGCACTAAAAGGGGTCAAAAGCTGGTACCATACCTGCTGCCTGCTTCTCAAAACTTGTGCCAGATGCTTCCCCACCTCAGCCGAGCGGTTCAGACAAACACACCAGGGGTTGTCAATAACGCTGGCTGCAGCCAACAGAGACGCGGGCCATGTCAGAGCTGTTACAATACCTGAAACAGGGTGTGGGGTGAATACATGAATTCATCCAGTGAAAATCAGTACAACAACAAACAGACAAACACTTGTGTATCAATATCCCCAGTAAGTGGTGATTAAATGCGGAGCCGCCCTCCTACCTGAGAGCACCGTGTACTTCAGGGCTTCCTGAGCCATCATGCTGACCAGTCCGTCCAGCAGAGACGTCATGGCTGAGCCCAGAGCCCTGAGGAAACGGGACTCCCACACCAGACAGTACTGCTCTCCGCACTCACCCAAACTGCACCACGGAGCCTGGAACGAACCTGGAACACAGCAGGTGGGAAAAAACCAGAGTGACACTTGAACGTTAAGCGTTGCTGGAGCCATTGTACGTGAAGTGCACATGGAGCATGTAACAGAGTGTGAATGTTGTGTGAAAAAAAGTACACTTGTTTGAATAATCAAATATGGCTGCTTCAGCTGTGTTTGACCCTTTTTTATATATAGATACCTATATTCTTTCTAAAATTAAAATTAAAGGCCTTAAACTCCTTGAAGGAATGCACATTGCCTGCCATCTGTCATGCCAGTGTTTAGACTAAAATCATTTTAAGACTTGAGCTATTTTGATGAAACCATAAAGCCAACATTAGCAATCTCATGCGATCAGTCAGAACGTGGAGCATGTGTTTTGAAAGACTGTCTGCTGTGACCACACTAAATTTTAGATCCAATAATGGTCAGTCAGGTCATCTGGACAGTTTCTTTGTTGTGGAAAGACATTTAGTCCTGCCATCTGCCCTGTCTTCCTTAACTGACATCACTGGTCGTATGAAACCTGCTGGATCCCCAAATGATCCCATCCCACCTCGTCTTTTTAAAGAGGTTTTTCACACCGTGGCTCCTCATGTGTCCCAAATTATAAATGACAGCTTGGCATGTGGACAGGTACCAGCGAGCTTTAAACATGCAGTTGTGACACCACTGATTAAAAAACCTAGCCTAGACCCCACAGTAATGTCCAACTTTAGACCCATCTCAAAACTGCCCTTCATATCTAAGATCTTGGAGAAAATTGTTTACAATCAGTTAACATCATACTTAAACGACCACAACCTTCTTGAACAGTTTCAATCTGGCTTTAAAACTCACCACAGCACTGAGTCTGCGCTGCTGAAAGTCTTCAACGACATTCTTTTAGCCGCAGACTCTGGTGACTGTGTAGTTTTAATGTTGTTGGACTTGACTGCTGCCTTCGACACAGTAGACCATCACATCCTCCTGTCTCGTCTGGAGAACTGGGTGGGCATTCAGGGTCCTGCTCTACAGTGGTTCAGATCCTATTTGACAGAAAGAAACTTCTGCGTGCGCATTGGTGCTGTGGAGTCCTCTGTAGCCCCTCTCACTTGTGGAGTACCTCAGGGTTCTATACTTGGCCCTCTTCTGTTTTCCCTGTATCTACTCCCTCTGGGACATCTTCTCCGGAAACATGGCATTTCTTTTCATTTTTATGCTGATGACAGCCAAATCTATGTTCCGTTAAAACAGGGCAAACACCATTCCTTGAAACAACTCCTGGGGTGTATGGCAGAAGTCAGAGCATGGATGTCACTAAACTTCTTACATTTTAATGACAAAAAGACAGAGGTCTTGTTGTTTAAGCCTAGTGAAGGCTCCAATATCCATGCTGATCTGGGTCCTTTAACAGAACATCTGACTGAGACAGCAACTAACCTGGGCGTGAGGCTGGACAGTGACTTCAAACTTGACACGCAGATTAAATCAGTGATCAATTCCAGCTTCTTTCATTTGAGACAACTGGCCAAGGTCAAACCATTTCTGTCACAACATCATTTTCAGATCTTAATCCATGCTTTCATCACAACTCGCCTGGATTACTGTAATTCTCTTTATGTTGGTCTGAGCCAGTCATTACTGACTCGACTTCAGCTGGTTCAGAACGCAGCTGCCCGCCTTTTAACTGGTACCAAAAAACGAGAACACATCACCCCTGTTTTAGAATCACTACATTGGCTCCCGGTTCGCTTCAGGATTAATTTTAAGGTTCTTTTATTTGTTTTCAAATGTCTTCATGGTCTCGCCCCACAGTATCTGTCCGACCTGCTCCAGCTGTACACTCCTTCTCGCTCTCTCAGGTCAGCAGATCAGCTGCTGCTGGTCGTCCCAAGGTCCAACAGGAGACTGAGAGGTGACCGAGCGTTCTCAGTCGCTGCCCCTAAACTGTGGAACGAGCTGCCTCTGCATGTCAGACAAGCTGGCTCACTTCCTGTTTTTAAGTCTTCTCTGAAGACACATCTTTTCTCTTTGGCTTTTACTTCAGTTTGAAATGTTGGTTTTAATGACTCTAAGTTATTTGTTTTATTTTATTTGTTATCTTTATTTTATTTCACATTTTTAACGTGTGGGGTTTTTATGTTTTTGTATGTCCTAGTGTACAGCACTTTGGCCAACAGTGTTGTTTTAAAGTGCTCTATAAATAAAGTTGTATTGTATTGTATCTATAGAAAGCGAAACATCTTTCCAGAAAAAAGAAACTGTCCAGATGACCTGATCGACCATTATTGGATTTGGTACCTGGATGACTGAGCATGAACTTTGATGTCTTTATCCACTTTGACTGTGGCTGCCTGCCTGGGAGGAGTCGACGGGGGACAGGACAGCTCCCAGAAACCATCTTATCACCAGCAAACTGGTTGGTACACTAAAGGAGTGTACTGCTTAGTGGTGAAAACAGTTTACTTGGGACTCCTCAGACTGATGAAGCCCTCTGGATAGAGGGAAAAACATCTTTACACACAAAAAAAGAAATTGTCCAGATGACTTGGTGGACCATTATTGGATTTTGTACCTGGATGCTTGAACATGAACTTTGATCAATTTTAGATCATTACCTGCAAAATTCATTGAGGTATACAAATTCTGTATAAATGTATATATATATGTATTAACCTATATTTAACCAGGTAAATTCCACTGAGATCACAGAGCTGTTTAGCAAGGGAGGCCTGAGTCTTGGAGTAGAACTGCTGCTCCTACACATCGAGCGGAGCCAGTTGAGGTGGTTCAGGCATGTCCGACTGGGAGGAGACCCCGGGGAAGACCCAGGACAAGCTGGAGAAACTATGTCTCTCGGTTGTCGTGGGAACGTCTTGGAATCCTCCCAGAAGAGCTGGAAGAGGTGGCTGTGGAAAGAGATGTCTGGGCTTCCCTGCTCAAGATGCTGCCCCCACGACCCGACTTCGGAACAAGCGGAAGATAATGGATGGATGGAGCCTGAGTCTGAAGGCAGCCCAATATTCGTTTTGGACTGTGGGAAGAAACGAAGTACCCAGAGAAAATCCACACAAACACGAGGAGAACATGAAAAGTTCACACAGAAAGACCTCAGGCCCAAACCGGGGCTTGAACTCAGGATCTTGTGTTGCAACAGCGCTAACCACTAAGCTATCGTGCTGTGTTTTGGTGTTGATGAAAGCTGTGGCAGCCATCTTCAACTGAGTTGACTCCAAAAGCTAATCAGATGTAAATTCATTGATTACTTCCTAAAAGTTGTATTAAAATTCATCCAGTGCTTCATGAGATATTTTGCTGACACTCGTGAGTTAAAACATCAACATCTTGACTTCGCCTTTGGGTGGAGGGCGATAATAAAGCATGTCTGTGGTAACACAGTGGACACTTTACTTACTGTATTTTCCACTACAGAGCCAACCTGTCACTGCAATAGTCAGGTGAAGATGCTTCCCAGAGTTCAGCGGCAGGAATTTAAATTCTTCTATCGCTCCAACACACTTATTCATCTTATATCCTACAAATAAAACAAAAATATATCAAAATAAATATTTTGAATGAGGAAAAATTATGTAGAATGCGATGATTTTGTTTTAGTTTGGAGACGTGACAAAAATATCAGCAAAACCTCCTCCCACACAATTATTCAGTGCTGTTACCAGTCAGCCCGGCTCCTGCTGCTCCAAACAGAGAGGCCATTATTGCGATGCCAGCAGCAGATCCCAGAGCAGCAGCACCACCGGCCCCCAGCACAGCGCCGGCTCCAGCTGCCACCAGAGGTGCAGCCAGTCCACCTGTCACACCTGGCCAACAGAGGACACAAGCTGAAATCTTTCCAGGGCAGAGTTTGAAAGTAAAACTCTCCAGATAACCTTTAAGCAGATTTTTAGCTGATGTTTATGCTTCAACATGAACCAAACAGGAATATTCACCGATCACGGTCCCTCCACCCACTGTGGCTAATCCGATGAGGAGGTAACGCCGAAACTTTCGCCCTCTTTCTCGCTTCAGCCGCCTAGACGACTCCTCTCTGGTGGAAACAAAGAGACACAGATCTGTCATGCGACTTTTGTTATCCCTTTAAGATATCATCTGGAAAACAATAAGCTGCTTGTTCACACTCTACATCAACATTAGTACGCCTGTGTGACTAAACTCAACACTGTTTAGATGAGGGTTGATATTTTTTTAACACATTTGACAAATTGAATATAACCAAAAACACATATTGTATCTAAAATATTACATTATTTGTTTTTCTGCTTTTTATTTTTCTGTACATTTTTACAGTCTAATCTATACTTTTTATTTTAGCTGTTCGTATATTAAAACATTCAGCTCATTTGAGACATGGGTGCTGTGACTTTTGAATTTTTGTAACTATTCAACATTAAAACATATTTACCTTTGTTTATAAATAAGTTATTCATAAAAATACAATATCTTCAATTCCTTCAAAAATATTGTTTACTTTGAAATCTGCTTCAGCATACTAGCAATTTTTGTCTTATTATGTACTTTTAGTTTTTACCTACTGTTCTGATATTTTTTTTGTTTTAGCTAGCCTTTTGCAACTTTTGACTTTTAGCAAGCTTTATTATATTTAGCTTCTTGTTAGCCTTTGATATAGCTAGTTAAATGTTGCTACTTTTAGCTTTTCACAATCTTTATTACATTTAGCTTCTTTATAGCCTTTGATTTAGCCATTTAAATGTTGCTACTTTTAGCTTTTAGCTAGCCTTTTGCTACTTTTGACTTTTAGCAAGGTTTATTACATTTAGCTTCTTGTTCGCCTTTGATATAGCTAGTTAAATGTTGCTACTTTTAGCTTTTAGCAATCTTTATTACATTTAGCTTATTTATAGCATTTGATATCGTAATTTAAATGTTGCTACTTTTAGCTTTTAGCTACTTTATCAAGCTTTTAGCTTTGGTTAGCTTTTAGCTAACCTTTTGCAACAATCATCTTTTAACTAGCCTGTGTTACTTGTATCTTCTAGCTAGCTTTATGCTACTTTTAGCTATCCTTTTGGTATTTTAGGTTTTAGCTTACCTTTTGCAGCTTTTATCTTTTAGTTAACTTGTTGCAAGTTTTAGATTTGTAACTAGATTTTGACATTTGTATTTAACCTTTAACATTTGTAATGTTCTAGAATTGCACCGCTCAAGGTGGCTGCATGTTGGAGCAGCTCTGTTACTTTCATTCTGAGATTTTGCTTTTGGAAACTTTAATTCCTGATTTTCTGGATGTAAATCACATTTTTTGGATGATTGTTTCCTCTGGTATCAGATGCTGTGCAGCCAGAAGGATTTTTACTGAGACTTTTTGGGTTTTGGACATTTGTTATGATGCGTAACCATGGCAACAAGGCAGTTTTCTACAACCAACAGCAGCTGATTAACATCTCAAAAGCTCAAATAATATCTCAACTATGGCCCCAACTCTCAATTGAGTTGAAAAGGATGTTATGTGGACGCATTCTCCTCTACCTGCCAGCTGTGCACGAGTGCCTGACCACTGAGATCCTGGAACTAGCAGGAAACATGGCTCACGACAGCGGAAGGACAGGATCGTCTCTCAGCACCTACAGTTGGCTGTCCACAGCTATGAGGAGCTCAGCAGACTGCTGGGAGGAGTGGCCATCACTCTGGGAGGAGTTCTGCCCAGCATTCAAGCGGTCCTACAGTCCAGGGGAACCGAGAGGCCAGCCTAGTCTGGGTGGACGGATCGGACTGCATCTGCAGACAGTTTCTTAGGATCCACTGTGGGATGGACCTTTACAAGAGATCCTTCCTGTCTACAGCCATTAGTATCTATAACATCTCTTAATGAAATGAGGATAACGAGTTACAACAACAAAATAATTTCCCTTTGGGATTAATAAAGTATTTTTGAATTGAATTGAACCTTTTGCTTTGTTTAGCTTTTTGTCACAATTGTTTTTTTTAGCTAGCATTTTGCTACTTTTAGCTTTTAGCTAGTGTTTTGCTACATATGGAATTTAGCTAGTGTACTACTTCCATTAGCTTTAACAATTGAATTTCAGCTTTTTTAAAAATATTTTAACAAAGTCATTAAGCACTCAGTTGTGTTTTTGAAGAGAAAGCTGTTTCTGTTGTTCCAGCCGAACGTTGATAACTTTGTTATTAAAATGGAAGCGTGGCCGACTCGTCCGTCATAACGTACTCGCTCTCCTCTCCTGCTTCCTTCAGCTTTTCTCCCAACGTTTCCTCGAACTCCTCCAGCTGCTGTGGAGTGACCCGAAGCAAACAGCTGACATGACGGATCAGGACCCTCGCTCTGGCGTCATACTGGCCTGAGAACATCACAAACCGTCGTAAAAAATGAAACAAGAAGGTTCTTTTGAATTTGTTCTAACGTAAAAGTTTCTCACCATCTTTGACAGAAAAAGACACCAGATCCTGCCACACAAAAACAGAGTTGGTAAGAAAAATAGAAATACAGACCACAGAATTTCTATTGAAATGCAAGAAATATTTGTTGTTTTTACATAATGAGCAAATCATTTTAACACATTATTTAAAGGACATACTTGAATGCGTCTTGTGTGTTTCATAAATTAACTATTGATCCAGTTGATTTTAGTTTAATTCTTTTTTCAGAGCTACTTCACCGCTTGTTTATTCCTCCAGATATTTTTCAATTTTGTGGAGAAATAGGATAAAAAATGAACTTTTGCATTTTGTTCAAGATCTGCCTTTGGCCAAGCTCTGACCTGTTCGAGTTCCCTTCATCATGTTTTTACTTTATACAGTATTTTCTCCATAAATGGTCCTAATTAACGCATCCATGCTCGTGTCTTTGTTGTCTACATTGCTACTCATACTCCCAACATGAGGCCAGACACCTGTATAATTGGAGTAGCTCCTGCTGCCAGCAGCTGATCCGCCTGTAGGATGGAGAGAAAGGTGTCGGAGCCCTCGAAGCCCAGACCGGACAAGAAAGCCCCCATAACTGGCATCACCGACTCATCCAGGTCCAGCCAGCGGACCAACCCTTTCAAGTACTGCTCCCTAAACTCACTGAGACACAAGAAGAACAAAAAGTCATGTTAATCACAGTGATTATAACAACAACAGGACAAATGTCCAGAATGACACAATGACATAATCGTCTACCCACATGTTTTCAGAACCAGCAAACAGCTGGCCCAAAGAGACCCCACACAGTGCAGCAAAAGCAAACCGGCTCTGTTCAGTCAATTGTCGGCTTTGATTTTTCTCTGGGTCTTGATCACCCGGGGCACCTTGTTGTCCTCCTGCCACTCCAGGGTCTTGATAAAAATAAATGAAAAATTAGAGACATCATAAAGCAATGCAAAAATGCATGTCACTCTGGGTTAGGGGTCTACAAACTGTGGCTCAAGGGTCACAACATGCTGTAGTAGTCCTCTGTACTTTTTATTTTATTACCAAAATTAACATAAATATTTATATTCATTACCACAAAAGGAAAGGCTAGTTTATGAATATTTAAATTAATGTGTTCTGCCAGAATATGGTCATTCTGATTATAGGAATTAGACATAAAGACAATAAAATCCTACTAAAACATAATGCAAATGATTTAGTTTTAATTAGATGACATTCAGGGCTTTCCATAAATTATTCATTTCATGAAGAAAACTTTTTTAACAATATAAAAACATGACATAACAAGAACTGTGCTATGTTTATTTCAAGCTTCAAGTACATGCAGTTGGTTGTAAAGGTTGCTCTGTGGGAATAAAAAATATAACTGCAGAAACCAGTAATAGTACAAAGTATAAAAACGCTGCTTTTTTTTTATTTAAAATTTAGTTAAGTGGATAATAATTCAAGCCGAATTTAAGAAAACATCCCCTTTTTTACACAGAGCCTTGTGCCATAGCAGTTAAACAAACTTAATGCTAAATATCAAAGTTTCAACATTAAACTGTACGTGTTTTCAATGGAATTCAATCTATCTGTGTCTTCTAGCCTCAATGACAAGAACTGGGTTACGGTCTAACTTTGGCACTTATCTATCTGATGAGCTGGCCTGAATTCAGCACACCGACGCTGCTAAACATGACCTACATGTTTGTTTCTGTGCCAAGCTTTTGTCTTATTTAAATACACTTTTATTTATAACAAATTATTATTTCCAACAAAAAAACGACAACAGCTGCCTGATGATAGCAGCTGCCTTTGTTGGTAAATAACTAACTAACGCTATTACAGTAACTTTAAATGGTGTGGCTACTTTACTATCTTATTTTAGAGCTCAAATAAGGAAGGTAACAAAACAATTTGGATGTACCTTGTGAGAAATCTGTGTCGGCACGGCTCTGTTTCTCCTCCATGTTAACTGACACAACTCTGAACTTTTGTTGCGTTCAAGTGCTCGTCTTGAGCTCCGACATTGTAACTTTTTTTTTTTTTTTTTTAAACAATCACTCGAACAGATAACTCTTTACCAAACTAGTGCCAAATGCAACACATTTTTTTTAACTCGGACTTTTTTATTTATTGTAAAATAGATTTATAATGACTTTATTTTGACTTGATACAAAACACAAGCACGAAATGTACAATTAAGTACATATTCACTGTAAAAATCACTTAATTAGAAACATTTTCTGCACCCATTGCTGATACAAATATAAAGGTTTCTTCTAACATCAAATTGCTTTATGTTGTTGTTTTTAGCTTTTAGTTAGCATTTTGCTATTAGAAATTCATAGTTAGCTTTTTATCAATTTTAGCTTTAAACTAGCCTTTTCCTCTTTTAGTTTCTAACTAGCCTTTTGATAATTTCATCTGACTTTTGGCTACTTTTAGCTATAATTTTGCTACTTTTAGCATTTTCCTTCCATTTGCTTTAAGCCAGCACTTCAGCTTAGCTAGTCTTTTGGCATTATTAGCTATTGTTTTGCCGCTTTCCACTTTAACTAGTTTTGTTACACTTAACTTTTAACAATATTAAAGATTTAGTTTGCACATTGAAGCTTTTCATGTATTCTTTTGCCACTTTTTGCTAACCTTTTTCTGCTTTAGCTAGACTTTTGCTACTTTGTTTAGTTGTGTTTTTAGTTTTTAACTATTTTGATCTTGTGCATAGATTTAAGCTGGTGTTTTACTACTTTCAAATTGTTATTAGCTACTTTTACATTTTAGGCAACAGCTTGCAAAGTTTGACTTCCAGCCCAGCAAGTGTCTTAGTTTTCAGCTCTTTGCTTTTTATTATTATTTTTTTAACTTCACACGGTCCTGCTTTAGAAGTGAAACATTTACGAGTGTTCTTAAACGCATCACGCGCTCTGAAGTTTTAAGTGACGTAACTTCCACGTCCTCCCACAGCTGGGCTGAGGTTTTTTATGTTTGAATTCAATGTTTGAATCAGGAATTCACGCATTGAGATTTAATAAAATATAAAAATGACACATTACGCATTTTTAGAGCAGGAATTATTTGTCAGGTGCTTAAACCAAATCAGTCGTGAACATTACTATCAGCTTCAAACAGAAAGTAAACTATTGAAAGGCCTTCAGATTTAATATGAACAGTGTTTTACATCTGTGACCAGCAGGTGTAAGTGTAGCATTTATTTCCTTCCAACATAACTGTTATTTTGAAGTTAATACTGTTGCAAATGGTACCTTTTGTGTTGGGCGTTGTTTAGAGTTTAAATAAAGAAGTTTGCGTTAAATGAATGTATTCATCTTTTATTAATGAACGTTAACAGGAAGTGAAGTGTCCTCAGCGCCTGCAAAGACTGTCATCTGAGCTGAACCCTTTACACAAGAGGATAAATCAGAAATAAGTAGATGAAAGGAACAAGGACACTTTTTTAAAAACTAAAAACGTCAACTAAAATAAAAGCACATTGGTTTTATTTTTAATAAACATGAACCATTGTATGCAACACTATTTGGTTCATGTGATAATTTAAGAAGTTATAGGATTTCCAAGCATAGAAAAAAGCAAACGACAATAAGTCAAAACCAAAAATGATAAAATGGTACTTACAATATAATTATTGTATTAAACACTTCAACATAGGTTAGCAAATGTTTTATAGTATATTATAGGTATGTCAATTAGAATAAAATGTAATGTGTATATTTTATTGTGATGAAAAAATGGCCCAATAAACTACTGTATGTGCAATATATTGGTAAACATATAAATCAAGGCTGATCGACTAAACTGCTGTTTTCCTTACTGATATTTAATTTTTAATCTGATTTTTGGATTTAAAATAGAGTTTTATTTTACATGAACTATCGGTGGGCCAGCCCGAGTTCCCCTTCAGACACGATGTGGACCTCGAGCCCCCAGGTGATTAGCCCTGATGTCGACTTCGTTATACTTCATTACAGTTTGTAATAGTTAAAGTGCCACTATATATTCTAACATGCAGCTTTTATTTAGCACCTGCTTCCCAAGACAAAGGGCGATAATGTTTTTTCTTGTGTCTGTGTGTTTGTTTGTTGTGTTAGCAAAATATCTCATGAACCACTGAATGGATTTTAATGAAAGTTTCAGAACATCTAAGCGACATTAGCAACACAGAAATGTCTAGTTCTCTGTCAGTTTCACGTATATTGAGCTAAAATTTGGTGTGGTGGTAGCTGAGAGTCATACCCAACACATACACTGAGCACTAGCACGTCTCGTGATATTTTGCATCATCAGATTATTTTAATTTGACACTCTGGCGTACAAAGCGCAGGCGATATGTGTTCCTTCAAGGAATGCTTTTTTTTTTTTTTTTTAATTTGTGGCAGTTTTATGTCTTGAAATAAACCAGAAAAAATGCAATAATATTTTAAAGGACGAAAATATGATTTGTTAAAAGCTTTTTTTTTAATTGTCATGTTAGGAAGTAAAATGTAGCAGTCAGTTTTACATGTTGATTTAAAATAAAGTGTTTTTAAGATACTTTTTGTTTTTGTTTCGGCTGATTTTCATCCTCGTGCTTATTTCCTCTTTAGGCATTGTTCATCTGCTCCTCTGCCTCTCCCTTCCCAATTGCTTCATCGGCTCAAATACGCTCACCAGCAGCTCCTTCTTCCCGTTGGTTTCCAGTTTGATTTATTAGCAATGACCAAGAGTCCAAAGCAAACACCGGAAAGGTATGAGAACGTGTGTTAGACCTCCAACCAGGTCTCAGCCTGAAGGAGCAGCCAGTACAACACTGGTACTTTGTCAAAATAATATCCTGGGTTTGTCACATGGAAATCTGCAGAATCTGCGTGAGCTGGGTTCATCTGTCTCGGAAAGGCATCCTGTTTATACCGTCTGCTCAGCGGGCTCAAGAGTTTTATAAACAAGTCTTTATGTGTTAGCAAAACAACTGCTTCATTTGAATGATCTGCTGCCTGTCTTGATTTATTCATCATTTCATGTTTTGGTATCCTGGTTGGATATAAATACTTAGAAATAAACAAAAGATTTCACTTCCTGTCAAAGAGCAACAGTAATTTGAATTTTGATTTAGCATTCACACTCTTGTTTTCTTCTTTTTACATTTTTTAATTTTTCCGTATGTTTTTTAATCTAGTTACTTTTGTTTGTCTTGTGCTAATTTAGCTATTCATACATCAAAATGTTCAGCTCATTCAGGAGATGGGTGCTCTGCCTTTTGCTTTTTGTAACGTTTTTACTTTTAGAATGACTTTACTTCATTTACGTTTTTTATTACCCCGTAGAAATACGCTAAATACATACCTTCAATTTCTTCAAAAACTTTCTTTTCTTTGAGATCTATTTTGACGCACTGATTTATTTTTATCTTCTTTTAGTACTTTTAGCAGGTATTGTGCTTCTTTTAGCTTTAACAACTCAGCTTCAACTTTTGCAGCAAATCCAATCAACACTTAGCTTTTATGTCTCCAGTTTTAAAATATTTTGACTTTAGATTGACAGATTTTTCCTATTCATGTCTTACAGTCTCGTAAAAAGAGAAAAATGAAATCCACAGCAGCTTAAGACTTCCTGATTTCTGCTAATTTTAGGAGTACTGTATGACAAAAAGTATATAAGAAGGTCCAGTGAGAAATATACTGTTTTATAAAGAACAGCAGTGGGATAAGCACACATCCCTGGGGAGTGCCAATGCTGAGATGTGAATTTTCTTGATTTACAAGTTCTTGCTGGTCAAATGACAGCTTTATTTTTATCCTGTATCCTGTGGATATTGCTAAATTGTGTTCTTGTAACTGTATACACTTTTTGCCCGCTCCCTTCAGGCAGGAGGTTGAGGAGCATTAAGTACAGAACCACTAGACTGAAGAACAGCTTCTACCCTGAAGTTGTTAGACTCATAAATCCCTAACCAGGAAAATCACTGTAATGCCACTTGATTGTTGATATGTGCTGCTGACTATCCATGTTGCTGATCTTATACTGCTGATTTATTTATTTCATGCTGCTGTGTTCGTATTCATCTGCTCACACAGACTCATGTTCGTGCTGCTGTTGTTCAGCATATTGTTTTTGTACTATTAGTGCTTGGTATATTCTTAGTCTGGCTTATTTCTTAGTATATATATATAAGATCTTACTAGTATTTTTCTTTACAATTTATACTTTTGTTGGATTTAACTGGGACCCTGTGTACACAATTTTGTGCCACCACATGCACAACATGTTGTACGAATGACAAATAAAGAAACTTTGATTTTGACTTTGACAAAGGTATGTAAGAAGGTCCAGTGATAAATACTTTACTGTTTTATAAAGAACAACAGAGGGGTAAGCACACATCCCTGTGGAGTGCCAATGCTGAGATGTGAATTTTCTTGATTTACAAGTTCTTGCTGGTCAAATGACTGCTTTAATCTTATTCTGATTTCTGTTGATATTGCTAAATTGTGTTCTTGTAACTGAACGCTGGCATAAAATATAAAAAAAATCCTTGTGTGAACAAATTTGACAGTCAAGCGTTTTGATTTCTGCCAGAAAAAACAATCTCAGGTGTTGAAAAGCAATGATGCGGAAAAAAATGTGAACTTCAGCTGCAGCACATATATTTCAGGTTATGTATATTTACACACCTGTGCTCAGGTTTCCACATTTGCTTACGTTTTTTCTCTTATCAGAACACCTGGTTTAATGCGAGCTTAAAATAACAAAGTTTACTTCTTTTCAAAATGTCTAGTATAATGAATATATTTAAATTATATATTATTTATGGTGGATCATGATATCTGGATTAATCATAAATGTGCATAAGTTTTGTTTTCTGTTGTTTATGTTGCTGTAAAATCTCCAAAGCTAGTGTCAGGTGACCAGCATGCTATTCTACATTTTAAAAGCTAATAATAACTAACAAGCATTTGCTGTAAGGTGTGGAGTTTCAGGGGCTGCT